AGAGACGTTTTTCTAAATCAGTTTTTTCGCGCGGAATTCGAATTTCTTACTTTTAAAATCGTAACTTTTATCTAAAAATTACAAAAATGCAAAAAATACAAGTACGGGAACTTTTTGGCGCACCCCTGTAATTTTCATTCTTTTAACCTCTGTAATCTCAATTCCTCCCTCAATCCATATCCAGGAACGCTTCTTTCACTCGTCGATATTTATGAATAAGTTCACTTTGGAAGATGTACGCATAGAAAGGTAGTCTATATTAAAATATGAATGAATTTTTTATAAATCAACTCACGGAACAAAAAACTGCATCACGGAAGACATCGGAAAATCGTTCCAGACTTTCGTAAAGCTGAACATAAAGGAAGTGACAACCTGGAAATCGTTTTTAAAAGAATAAAACTTATCAAGTACTAACCATTGTCATCATTGGTGTTTTCACAAAAGCGTACTCAAAAACGGTGAGACAAGATTGCATGAATTGTCCCTGATTTAGTGAGAGTTTCGCGACGACTTCGGTTATCTAAAAATGATTACATTACACTTTTTAACCCTATAATCTTGATCTAGTTTTGTTTTACAAATAGAATTGACTTCAAATTCTCAAATCTTCAATCTTCAAGGCTTTTCAATTATACTTTAGAATTGTCTAAAATTGATTTTGCCTTTATTTTACTGCATCTACTTAGTTCAAAGGTATCTAAATTAGATCTGCTTTGAAATACTGTGAACAGTTATTAATAGTGTTGAGAATATAATCGTTGTTTTAAATCATTTTCTAGTGTTTTCTAAAGTATGGACCTTCTACTGTACTCATATTTCTTCGCCATTTCACAGCATTCTTTCTCTTGCTCAATTTGGGGGTATGCTAATTTCCGCAACAAGGTCATTTGCGCAACTCGCCATAACTTTCTTCTAAGTGGACCAATCTTTATGATTTTGGTTTCATTTTGTTGTACTTATTGAGGTCTACAAAATGACACTAAAAGCATAAAAATTGGTCCACTTAGAACAAAGTTATGGCGAGTTGCGCAAAAAAAATTGCGGAAATTAGCCTACCCTCGAATTCTTTCTCGAATTACCCAATATTTTATTTGTTTAAATAAATTGTTAAGCAAACTACGTCAAGTACACAAATTGTATTAGAAACACTAAGGCTATCAAGGAAATACATAAGATTAACGCTGTATTAGCGATTGGTCACTCTATTTTTCAATATCCCCTTCGAAGATTATTCTAATACAGCATTTACAATATTTGCATATCTTGATAACAAAGAAAACTATGCACCAAATAGATTTTTGTGTCAATTGTTTGTGTGAAAAATCAATTAGGTTTGACTAGAACTTTTGAAATCATGTTTTTCAGAAAATGTGAAATAAAAGAAATTTTTGAAAGATGGGAGTCGTTCTAATACAGCATTTTTAGCTTTAACAAATAGCAAATTACTGTTTTCTGTTTACAGTTTTCTGTTTTACCGTTTTCCAAAAACATTTTGTCACTCGAAGTCGAAGTTAAAAACAATTTAGATAAACTAAAAAAGATGGGTAAAGTGCGGAATCGGGTCTCGGTTTTTTGGAGGTCAAAGGACGGATGAGGGACCACCAGTGCCAATGAACGTTTTGTGGGTTTATGTAAAAGTTTTAGTAACAAATTTAGTTATTTAAGATAGTATTTATTAGATAAATTATTAGATAAATACAGCATTTTTAGCTTTAGCAAATAGCAAATTACTATTTTCTGTTTACAAACCGTTTTCCAAAAACATTTTGTCACTCGAAGTCCTAGCAAAAGACCAACACATGAGAGAAAATATGGATTGATTTGATGAAATTTCTGAAAACCTTTAGTTAGATATTCTTTTTTTAAATTCACCAAAGAATAATGCCAATACGATTTCGGTAGCCACCAGAGGGTTTTGTATAAATTAAGATATTGAAGGAAGAGAGCCAAAACAGAGTAGAGAAACAGGGTACACTCGAAGAAAAGCTCTCCTGGGAAAGTAAAATTTATAAAATTAGTTTTAATATTGGGCTGGTGAATTGAAAACTGCGGGCCATTGTCATATGTGACAACTTGAGCACTTTCTTCAAAAGAAACCCATTTTGGTGTCAATGGAAAAGTTGTAGAGAATCAAAAAGTAAGCTTATATCCAAATTTTCAGAACGATTCAAAAACTGGTTTTCAAGAAATGCCAAATTTACGAATTTTCACAAAACTTGCATTTTAAGCGAAACTACTAAGTGAATCTTTTTGGATATTTGGCTATAAGCCTAGTTTTTGATTCTCTACAACTTTTCTATTGACACCAAAATGGGTTTCTTTTGAAGAAAGTGCTCAAACTGGGACATCTCCAGTCCTCCACTTTTGAGTCTCACACACAAACCAAAATCCTACGCAGAAAGAGGAATCCGCAAATTGCCTGTAAAATGGGCAGAAGTCGTCAATAATAATGGAAATTATTTGGAATGAATTGATGGTTTTATGTTGAATAAATTTTAGTTCAAAGTCCGGCAGTTTTCAATTCACCAACCCAATAATAGTTAGTTTAATATTCAATTATAAACCTGGTGTGCTATTTTGTTCGGGCATAAATGGATGCACGGAAATGATAAGGCCAGATGTTTCCATTGGAGCGCCACTGAAAGTTTCATTTGCTTTTAATATGTTTAGTGAAGAGATTCTAGTTCTAATTTACTAATATTGTTTTTATTTTCAGCTTAAGAAAGCTTTAGAAGAAGCAGGGTTATTTAAAATCCAAATTTTCCAGGTCAAGCAAGGCAATCAAGCCAAGTTCTCTCCTGACTTGCTTAAGCTGACTTTACGTCAAGCTTTACTGCAAAAACTATAATCATCTTTAGAATAAGATAAATTATTCGATAAATACTATCTTAAATAACTAAATTTGTTACTAAAACTTTTACATAAACTCACAAAACGTTCATTTGCACTGGTGGTCCCTCATCCGTCCTTTGACCTCCGAAAACCGAGGCCCGATTCCGCACTTTACCCATCTTTTTTAGTTTATCTAAATTGTTTTTAAAATCAAAAATTATAACTAAATTAGAAGAAAAACCTGTCATTGCTGGCTTCAAAAGGCATCGAATTTCAAGATTTCTCAAAGAAAACCTGTTTTGGCTACAAACTTCGGCAAAAAAACCCATTTCGACTACAACGAGCAACAAATGACGCCATTTTTCTGATTTGGACATGAAAATGAAGAGAAAACACATAAAACTTTGATAAACTACTTAAAGTTTTATGATTTTAATGATCAATGAAAGAATTCGAGAAGCATATTGTTGATTTTAGTAAGCAATTGGGATGGTGGGTTGATAAAGTCTTGTTTTTTGATTCATTTCAATTTAATTGATATTTTAATTTACATTTAAATATAATTTATAGTTTGTTAACGTTTAGAAATTGTCTATTTTACATTTCTCCACTTTAGCTCGTTTACCGATGAAGACGCTCCATTGCAACAATGGTCAACCGAAAATTGCTTCGAGTTTTTGACGAGATGTCTATGGAAGATTGATCCCGAGACACAGTATGAGAGTTCTTTTTATCTAATTGACATACCGTAAATACTGTAATAGTACCCCACCCCTCTCGTACAGTCGCGTAGTCGCAAAAGTTTTTTAGTATTTCATTTTTTGCAAAGCACACGTACTTTCAAAAAAATGCGCCTTTGGTATCAAAAAATAGCTGAAATTCAGGGCTATTTTTTGATATCTAAACGCGCATTGTAGCATAAACCAGTGTCGAGAAAAACTCGTTCAAAGCTAGACTACACAACACTCTGCACCGTCATTATGGGGGTGGGGTACTATTACAGTATTTACGGTAATTCTATTAGTAATTAAGACTATAATAAGCTGTAATCGGCTCTAATAAAATCAATTTACGATTAAAAATCCCATCATGGAAACTTCCGTCAATCGTCACTGCAAGATTTGCGAAAGCAACCGAGATCACTGATGCTGTAAAGGTCTTTAATTTTCTATAATATTTAATAATAAAAAGTAAACAGAGTTAAAGAGTTAAAATGAAAGAGTTATTAATGAAATCTGAGTCTCTAGTTAATCGGAATTCGTCGCGAATTCGGCTACCAAACTCTTCTCTATGGAGGACTCTCCGATTTGATCCCTCTATTTTTGGATTTAATTGAGAAAATCCCAAAAGAAGAACACTTCATTGAAGAAACGAAAAGTAATAAAAGACAAATTGAATGTTTTGCTTTAATGCTTTGCTTCAATGCTTTAATCAGTTACAATCAAATTCTAGGTGTTAAAGAGCAACTCTTGGCTCAAGCTTGTTCAACGATCCAACCGGGATGGGTACCTGAGTTCTGTCGGCGATTAATGATGCGTTACGACGGAAGATTTTGGTGTCCATCTGAGGTTTTAATCAATTATATTATCAATTTATAAAATAGCTTAATGATTTTTGTTTTTTTCTATTGTAAAAATTGCTTTTTAAGATTTAGAAAGTTCAATTTTGTGGCTTACTGTTAGTTTGAAGGATTGCTTCTATTGTTATGATTCCTTGACAACTTTAAGTTTTGATTTTTATGTGTAAACTGGTTTTAAAGTTATTCTATATATCTAAATGTTAAACTTATTATAGTTAAGAATTGTTTTCAGGATTTTCCCGAATACGTGAGTCCATTTCAAGATGTTGATCATCGAAAAGCTCTCCAAGCCGGAAATGATAGTCGCAAGTGGATTGCAGCATTGTTAAGGTTCGAAAAAATGATATTAGATTTAGATTTTTTAAATAAAAACTATACTTGAAAGCCTAGAATATGGTTTTTATTTTAGAATTGGCGGTTTAAAAGCTGGGAGTCTCGGGAAAATGGATGCAATGATTGTTGGAAAGCCTCGACCAGCACCGAAACCAAGGCAATACACTATTTGATTTTAGAAATAGCATTTAAGATTTAGCTTTGAATATTTATATCTTAAATTTGTAATCTTTAGATTAAAACCTGAACTGCCGCCGAAACCGAAATTATCGCCGAAAACAAACACGGAAACCGAGTCAAGAATGGCTGAGAAACGAGCGAAACTCGAGAAATTGAGAGCGGAAATTGATGAGAAGAAAATGCACATAATACAGGTTTCAAAAAAGACCTTAATAGGCTAAAATGTTCTCAGATCAAATGCCAACATGTGCTTGTTGAAGATAAGATCCAACTCTTCGAAAAACAAATGGCCGATGTTGATGAAAGATGGACGACGTTGTTGGAGAATCCAGAAGAAGGAGGAGAACGGTTACAGGTAGAGTTATCAGCTTTACAATTACAGATAAAAAAATCTGTAATTGTAATTGTAATTGTAAACATTTGTAATGTGATTTTTAAAGTTTTTGCGTAAAAAAAATCTCTTGACCATTTGCAGAAAGTGCTAAACGAGAGCGCAGCCAAATTCGAGCGTCTTGAGGGGAAATGGAAAGCGATGAGAGACGAGAAAATGGGAAAACTTCAAGAGTTGAAAGAGAAATATTCATCTGCAGTAAGTAGAATTAAAAAAATAATTATCAAAATTCAGCTTGAAATTGAAAATCTTCGGGAAAAAGCTCAAACAGTGAGGGGAAAGCGAAAAGCGCTTATCGAGGAGATGCAAGGGAAGGAGCAATATATTGAAAAATTGGTTGATAAAATGAAAATTTTGGATAAATTATTGCTTTTAGAAAAGAAGATTGGAAAAATTGGAAAGCGATGATTGTAATCGGGGAATGTTTACGAAAAGGATCACAGAGATTGTGAACAATATTAGAAAGCAAAGAGAGGAAATGGATAAGGTAAGACAGAGAATTGAAGACAGAATTGAAGGCAGAATTGAAGACAGAGAATTGAAGACAGAGATTTGAATACTATTGGGTTGGTGAATTGAAAACTGCGGGCTATTGTCATATGTGACAGTTTAAGCACTTTCTTTAAAAGAAACCCATTTTGGTGTCAATGGAAAAGTTGTAGAGAATCAAAAATCAAGCTTATATCCAAATTTTCAGAACGATTCAAAAACTGGTTTTCAAGAAATGCCAAATTCACGAATTTTCACAAAACTTGCATTTTAAGCGAAACTACTAAGTGTATCTTTTTGGAAATTTGGCTATAAGCCTAATTTTTGATTCTCTACAACTTTTCCATTGCCACCAAAATGGGTTTCTTTTGAAGAAAGTGCTCAAACTGGGACATCTCCAGTCCTCCATTTTTGAGTCTCACACTTGTCTCACACATAAACCAAAATCCTACTACGAAAGAGGAATCCGCAAATTGTCTGTAAAATGGGCAGAAGTCGTCAATAATAATATAATATTTGTCTATAATCTATCTATCTTTTCTTACATTTCTTACAATAAATAGCCTTGTTTGGGAACTTTTGGCGCATTCCCCATACAGTCCGGACCTCGCCCCTTTTGATTACTATTTATTCCGGATAATGAGTAATGAGCTTGCGGGAGAACACTTCGATTCGGAAGAAGCAGTCAAAAATTGGCTTTGAAAGTTTTTCGATTCAAAACCAAAATCCTACTACGAAAGAGGAGTCCGCAAATTGCCTGTAAAATGGGCAGAAGTCGTCAATAATAATGGAAATTATTTGGAATGAATTGATGGTTTTATGCTGAAAAAATTTTAGTTCAAAGTCAGGCAGTTTTCAACTCACCAACCTAATAAAATCTTTTAAAATATAAAGGGTATCGTCGAAAATTGCTTTTTCATGAAACTACAATTACAAATAAAAACTAAGCTTTTAGGTAAACAAGGATATTCTCAGCCTGCACAAAGAAATTCGCTGGCTTTCCCAAGCTGTTCAACGAACATTTGGTGTTATTGAAGAACAGCTATACAGGGTAAAAATCGAAATGATTCTTTATTTTGTTTAATAGGTTTTAAAGATAATTTTATTTAAAAAAAACAATTTCAGGAAGCTAACCAATCTTATAAAGGTGAAAGATCGTATAAACTTTTCTCAAAAATTCACGCGTGTTGTCAAAAAGCGATGCATTGTATTGAGCGTTCTGGACAATTAGCAAAAAATGTGGAAGAATTGACGGATCATGTAAGATTTTAAAGCCTAAAGAAAAAGCCTTATAAATCAATGGTTTTCAATGATAAAAATTAACTACTTTAGCTATTTTAATATCAAAAAGAACTAAACTTTTTCTATTTTAAGCATTAAACAAGTTGTATTAACTTTCTTGCAATTTGAGTACCTTTAAAATCATATTTTATTTTATTCTAGATTAAAATTTTATTAATAATCATCTTCCAAATTGTTTTATTAACTTGTTTACAAATCTAGATTCATATATTGTCATTGTTTAGGCTGAAATCGGTCGACAGAGCACAGTGGATACTCGTCTTTATCAAGTTCTTACCGATCTCGAGGCAGTTGAGGCTGAAAAAGAGCGATTTAAAGAAAAAATCAAAGAAAACGGTATAAAAGCTGAATAACTTCAATATTTCTTTTTCTCTTTATTGCCAAAATTTGTGATTCATTGAAGAAATTTGGTTACTTCGGGTTTTTCTCATCAAATCATTCCTTATTACCGTATTCTCTTTAATAGTAGTGCACCCCGGCGAGTTGATGACGATTTTACGGTTTCCAAGCTTTTGCAGAAGCTCAACACTCTAATCTTCCACTAGATCTCATCGTCAGCTACATTTTCCGACCCCACATCGATGGGCTCTGATAAACGGTTCTCGAGATTTCGAGGAATTTAGGCAGCGCTCTGGGTGCACTACTATTAGAGAGAATACGATATTCCCTTTCACTAGAGCTGTTCATCAAAGGTGCAATCCCACCGGTAGAGTATTGATTCTTTTTCCATATACTTCATTCTCTCTAATAGTAATGCACCCCTTCGAGCCGAGTTGATGACGATTTTACGGTTTCCAAGCTTTTGCAGAAGCTCAACACTCAAATTCCCCAGAAGAGCTCATCGTCAGCTACATTTTCCGACCCCACATCGATAGGTTCTGATAAGCGGTTCTCGAGATCTCGAGCAATTTAGGTAACACTCTGGGTGCACTACCATTAGAGAGAATACGGTATTCCCTTTCACTAGAGCTGTTCATTTTTGATCTCATTGTCAATAGGTGTACAGCGGAAAACGAAATTCGACCATTTCAATGATTACTTTTTCAGGATTTTTTGCCAAATAAAAGTAGAATTTTTCAAGCTCTATCTTTCAGTCTGAAAAACCCTTGCAAAAGTTGCTGTTGAAGTGGTTAAATCTCGCTTTTCCGTTTTACATCTATTGATAATCATACAGAAAATGAAGAGCTCTACCTTTTAATGGTTTGTAAAGTGATGGAATTTTATTATTTGGTGCTTATAAAGTTAATAAATGTAACTTATTCAGAAATTTTCTTCTAAAAAATTCAATCTCAAAGAAGAATTATCGTTTATAAGTGAGATTTTAGGTTTAAATTTGCCACATTTTGCTTAAAATGTTAGCCAAAATGAGCTGCTTGGCTAAAACCAAAGAATTTTTACTCAAAAATCTCTTAATTAAAGAGCTTATTGTAGCTAAAGTTCTTTTCCTTTCTTTTTTTCCTTATCTCTCTAGGTTAGGTTTCTTATCTCTCTAAAGTTTGGTTACTTAGCTCTCGAAATTTGGTTCCTTATCTCAACAAATTTGGCGCCTTATCTCTCTAAGTTTGGTTCCTTATCTCTCTAAGTTTGTTTCCTTAGCTCTCTAAATTTGGTTCCTTAGCTATCTAAATTTGGTTCCTTTTTTTCTAAAGTTGCTAAAGTTTCTTTTAGTTTTCATTTTCAAACTTTTTTTTTTGACATTTCATTTTTCAATGACAATTTGAACAAAGGAAATTAAAAATGATGTCATTTCTTTATTGTTATTTCTTTGTTACTCACTGTTTACTACTTTTTTTGACAGTTTGACCAGAAAATTTTGACAATCTGTTTAATCATCAAAGCTTTCTGTAAGTAGTAAAATCCCTATTACCTTCTTCCTCTGTTTGTTCAACAAATCTACCAATTCTCAACGAAAAACTGAACAAGAACAGAGAAATGATTGATAACTCCATCAAAAACTTCTTCAATCATCCATTGTCTCTCCATTAACACAATTTTTCATGCTTTTTATGAACAGACTCTTGGATTGACATGGAGAACTCCAAAAAAATTCGCAAAGTTTTCACCACATCGAGACGGTTTTAAGCTAAAAAGGAAAAAGCTGACTCTGCTTTTCTTTTGCTTTTCAGCTTTTCAGGCACAACACCACTTTTCAGTCCCGGTGGCGAGTTCAACTCAAGGTCAGACTTGGAGAGAACACAAGGGAAAGCCTCGAATAGCTGACGATCTTCCTAGACAAGCGAGAACAATAGAATTATAGTAAACAAGGGAAATAGGAATATGGAACATCTGGAAAGATGATAATCCTCTAGATTAAGCTCTTGATTTTTTTTGTTTGTTCAACACAAAGTTTAAGCCATAGTTTGAAAGCTTAAAAGCAATAGATAATTCAAAGTAAAGAACAATGAAAGATTTTAGATGCAAACGGTTTTAAATGTGATTGCGAACGAACGTTTTTCTCATACACTGAGTTGCTCTATCATCGACATCCCGACGAAGAGCAAATCTATGGCTTTGCTTAATTGATCACTATTTGGAAGAGTTTTTAAACAACAACAACAACAACAACAAATACTTGTTATTGATTCAAAATCGATTCAAAAGCAAAATAAAGCTACCAAAAATTGATAAACATTATCCAATGATTTAGAACTTTCAAACTAAACGTTCAAATCGGCTAAACTTTAGCCAGAGCTAAACTTCATGATTAGTTTTAAAAGAAGTCCACTTCAAATCTCTGAACCTAGCCGGCCTGATCAGCTCTGTTTTAGACCTTGTATTTAATCATCGACATCCCGACGAAGAGCCGGCACCGAAAAGAGTCGAGTAGAGAAATTTCTAAGTCTACAAACTGATTTCTATCTTTAGTCAGTAAATTGTTAACCTTTTCCGAACATCAATAAATCTATGGCTTTGCTTAATTGATCACTATTTGAAAGAGTTTTTAAACAACAACAACAACAAATACTTGTTATTGATTCAAAATCGATTCAAAAGCAAAATAAAGCTACCAAAAATTGATAAACATTATCCAATGCTTCAGAACTTTTTACAGTAAACTAAACGTTTAAATCAGCTAAACTTTAGCCAGAACTTTCTTTATTGTTTGTCCCCAAATAGTTCTGGCTAAAGTCACTTTTTCGTGACTTTTTCTAGCAATAGAACTCAAACCAGTTGCTCCTTCTGTGAGCAAATTTCCGAAAAGCTTTCCTCAAAAAAAGAGTGAGCTCTCCCTTCGACTTTTCAGTCCATCGAGAAGCGACTCCCGATGGTTTTTGAAAGGCAAAAAGGAAAGCTGACGAAGGCTGAAGGTCACCGTGTTCCACAGCACCGTTTTCGGTTTTCCAAGCCACAGCCACGAGATTCACCTACCTCTTTCTAACCAGTTTTCTCGGGTCTCTCAAGTACTGTCCTTGGTCGAACGTCCCCTCGAGGGGCTTTCAAGTTTTTTTTTGCTCTACTCCCGACTCTCTTATGGACAGCAATGCCTGCCCTCTCAAGTGAGAGTCTTTGTTTGGATGCTATAACGAGTTTTGACTCTAGTTCACAACCCCCACCCTAGGATTCCTCAGCTATACACATTATCATTTCCAACTGACCACAATGTTAACACTGGCTACTTCGATGGTGGGTTTTACGAGTGCAATTTGCTTTGCTTAGAGATTAGAAGGCTTTAACTATTCCAGGTATTCAATACTGAACTATTTAACGTCAATTCTATTTACTTAAAGGTACTGTATTTACTGTCATCCATTTTATAACCATTTTTTTTTTCATTTTTCCCCCAAATTTTTTTATGATATAAGCTTTTGGAAACCTATTTTTCCCACTTAAAAATTCAAAAATCGTTCTCTAAGTTCGAAACTATGGTAGTTTAACTTGGTAGTTTAACTTTTATGAAATAATTTAAAAATCTTCTTAGATAGTTACCGTAAATACTGTAATAGTACCCCACCGCATAATGGCAGCGCGGAGTGTTGTGTAGTCTAGCTTTGAACGAGTTTTTCTCGACACTGGTTTATGCTACAATGCGCGTTTAGATATCAAAAAATAGCCCTGAATTTCAGCTATTTTTTGATACCAAAGACGTATTTTTTGAACGTACGGGCGCTTTGAAAAAAATGAAATACAAAAACTTTTGCGACTACGCGACTGTACGAGGGGGGGTGGGGTACTATTACAGTATTTACGGCAGCTACTATTTATGGGTTCTCGACACTGCTTTATGCTACAATGCGCACTTAGATATCAAAAAATAGCTGAAATTCAGGGCTATTTTTTGATACCAAAGACGCATTTTTTGAAAGTACGGGCGCTTTGAAAAAAATGAAATACTAAAAACGTTTTGCGACTACGCGACTGTACGAGGGGGTGGGGTACTATTACAGTATTTACGGTAATAACAATTAATATCTCAAAGGATTTTCGAGAACAAGTGGAAATGAAAAACATTTGTGAAATGTGAAATTTCATTCAACAAGGAAAACTAAAAGAATCAATGACTAAAAACTAATCGTAAACAGATTTTCGATAATAATCTCCGTTTAGCTTCAGAAAGCAATACTTTGTTACTGTTTTCTAGCTTAGAAAATAACAAAGTATTGCTTTCTGTAGCTTTCTGAAGCTAAATGGAGATTGTTACCGAAAATCTGTCTTCTGGCACTGAAGTAGAAGAGATTTTTGGTAGTACGAACGGTACGAACTACTGTAAGACATGTAATAGTAAGACTTGACTATTATAGACTTTAGATTTAGCTCTGCAAATTCTCGAATCTGTTTCTTGATTACAGTAGTTTCAATGAATAGTTCAACTCTCACAAATTGAAACAAAACAATTGACTAAAATGAAATAGAATCTTGACTCTGAGTCTGGTAAATCTTACGAACTTTTACAATAAAACCTTTCTACACAGCTAGACCTTTTTCTCTCAAGAAGAAGCCCGATTCTAGTACTTTGTCTGGCTTCAAACCATCCCCATAACACTTAGTGACTGTAGAGAGTAGGCCGTAATCCGTGCGGCTCCTGTAATCCATCGAATCCAGCCTTTCAATAGGGGATCGGCACGGCTTTGCCCATATTGCCATCCCACTTTTTCTCTTCCGATCCTTCAGACTTGCAGTCTAAATCATGGACAGCCGTGATCATCCAAATCCTTTCCCCTGTATTCGTCCAAAGTAATCCCCAGCTAACAGGCAACCGGATCGGAGTTTCCACAAGTTTCCACGAGTTTTCTATTTAGATTTTTACTTATTTTCCTTTCAATTGATAGATTTTATATTTTTAGTTATACTTAGCATCAGTTAAAACAGTAATGAATCTATTAATACACTATTAATAAGCTCTATTAATAGCATAATTTGATTCAGAAAATAGTAAACAATCTCTTTCATCAGCAATCTCAACCCTTCCACTTTATGGCCTCTATTAATAGCAATGAATCTATTAATAAGCTACCATTTCAAATTTTCTATCATTTCTTCTTTTGATTGGAAATCTGAGAATGTAATCTTCTTCTTATAGCTTTTTTACTTTACTGTACAAGAAAAACCTGGATGTATTAGATAATATAAGTGCTACAGTACTTTTTATATCACTAACTGATCATTTAGTTAGCGTCTAGAAGTCTAGAAAGTCTAGAACTCTTTAGCTAGCTTACCGTATTATTGATTTGATTCAGAAAATCGTAAACAATCTCTTTCATCAGCAATCTCAACCCTTCCACTTTATGGCTTCTTTTCTAATCATTTAAATCCATTTCCCATTCTTTGATCCGTAGTAATCCCCGACTAACAGGCAATGGATACAAAATTTGAACCAAATTTTGTTCACTAGGTTTTGAAATCCACTGGGTTTTGAAATCCACCGGGTTTTGATGAGAGGTAAGCTATGATGAGAGGCAAATGCCCGTTTAGAAGCCGATGGCATCAATTTCACTTTCTCCCTCTCTTTCTTTCTATGATGAGAGGCTTTTTTACTTTACTGTACAAGAAAAGCCTGGATGTATTAGATAATATAAATGCTACAGTACTTTTTATACCTCTAACTGCTCATTTAGTTAGCGTCTAGAAGTCTAGAAAGTCTAGAATTCTTTAGCTAGCTTACTGTATTATTGATTTGATTTAGAAAATCGTAAACAATCTCTTTCATCAGCAATCTCAACTCTTCCACTTTATGGCCTCTTTTCTAATCATTTAAATCCATTTCCCATTCTCCGATCCGTAGTAATCCCCGACTAACAGGCAATGGATACAAAATTTGAACCAAATTTTGTGCGTAGATTTAACGATCTCGAAAGTTAGATACAGTACTATTTGTGGAATTATTCACTTCAAATTTCAATATCCATTTTACCTTTAAAACTTTTACCTTTTCTTCCTTCTGGTCAATTAACCACACAAATCCCCTTTCTAAAATTGCTTTCACTAATAAACAGTCAGAGAAAGAGAAAGAGGAGAAATGAAAAGGAACAGGTGAAACTCTTGTCTAGGATTGCCTCTATTTCCCTTCCTCTGGATCTCTCAAAGACTCCAGAATCACAGCTTTCAATCAAACAAATAAGTCAATTTCTATACTACTTAAAAATTCAATTTTCGTTTGGAGAAAGCTTTAGATTCATAATATTGTACTATTGTACTATTTGAGTAATCGAGAACTATCTTTTTTTTTGCTTTAAACAACTCTCAACCCTATTCAAATTGATATCTACTTTGGGTTTTGAAGAAGAAATGATTCCAGCTTGGTTTTTACCATTCATAAAGATATTTAATTGAAAAATGAAAGATTCAAAAAGTTGTTTAAAGCTAGAAATCTAGCTTTGGCTTTATTCTGAATCGAAAAATCTCTTCTTTACTTTCAATACTCAAAACATTGAAGTTTTGACCATCAGTTTAATCATAAAGCTTTCTGTAACTAGTAACGTAAATCAAAAAATCTCTTCTTTACTTTCGATACTTAAAACATTAAGGTTTTGACAATCAGTTTAATCATAAAGCTTTCTGTAACTACACTACTGGAAAATGAAATATCAAATTTGAAAAAAGATCGTCACTATCGCGCGCCTGTAACTCCCTTGTCTTTACCGTATTTCTAAATATTAATATTACCATTGTATATCCCTTGAAAAGAGCTTTCAGAAAATATATAGCACTAATAGTTTAAACTCAAAGACAAGGGAGTTACAGACGCGCGAAAGTGACGATCGTTTTTCAAATATGATATTTCATTGTCCAGTACTGTAGTAACGTAAATCAAAAAAATCTCTTCTTTACTTTCAATACTCAAAACATTGAAACATTCACCACAATCTCTAATTGCATAAACATAAAAGCACTTTTTTTTCCTTCTCTTCAACGAGTATTGGAGTGAAATCCACCGGGTTTTGATGAGAGGCAAGCTATGATGAGAGGCAAATGCCCGTTTAGAAGCCGATGGCATCAATTTCACTTTCTCCTTCTCTTTCTTTCTCTTTCACCCAGCAGGTTTGCACAAGAAAAAAAGATGTGAAAGGTGTAGGCGAAAGCCTTGTGGATTAACCGAAAGGATAAATCTCTTTTTCAGAGACTATCCTTTGCCAATGATTTGAAGATTCTGCTGAGCTTTATCTGATGGTGGGAAAATTATGGCAGAATATAGGCTAAATAGGCAGAATATAGCCTAAATAAATTGTTATAGGTTTAGTTGTTATAGTTTAAAATTAAAATAAAATTTTATAGCATTTATCCTTTCAAAGTTTCAAGAAAAAACGAAAATTTGATGGTTTTAAGCTTTCAAAAAATTTCATAGCTTTTATTTCACTAGAAAATTTCATTGAATGTTTAAAGCTGACTTGGCAAACTAGTCATAAATAGGCTGTACTTTGTGCTTTGACAAACGCGAGCTTCTTTGCATATTGACATTGGATAAATGTAGAATTAGTTATTAGAATGGATTAGAAGTCAGGAATTAGATCTGGATTTTGAGCTCGCTAAACGCAGGCACTTTGACTCAATGAAGTCTTCATGATTGTTAAAAGAATAATGTCTGTACCAGTAAGATTGCGTTTACTAGAGTAAGGGGAAACTAAGGGCAAAGTACGAGCAAAGTACGAGCAAAGTACGGACAAACTAGACAGTACTTCAGCACAGTGCCAAGGACAAGACTGTTCTAGACCTTCGACTAAGCTTCGACTAAATCTAGACTTGATTTGCCTGATTCACTTCTATGTTAACGTGTTCTTAGTCCCAACACTTGCTCTCTTTTGGCTGAAAAACGTTATCAGAGTTGGTGAATGACAAAGACAGTTTCACCTCTTCAGTTTCACCTTTTTACGAACCAACAGGGATCGTGATCCACCCCCATTTCACCCTAAGGGTTGAACCGATTTCCCCTCCTCGAAATCCACACATCCTTTTCATTCTTTGTCTTCTTTTCTTTCTTTCTTTCTTTCTTTCTTTCTTTCTTTCTTTCTTTCTTTCTTTCTTTCTTTCTTTCTTTCTTTCTTTCCTTCCCCTTTTTTGCCAATCCTTCTCATTCGATCCGATTCCATCAATTCACTTTGGCATTTTCACTTTTTCACTTTCTTTTTTTTTATGACACTATCCCAGACTCTCCCGGGTCTCGATTCAGACCGATTCAAACCGATTTGGATCTTGCTTTTTGCAGAATTTATCTCAATGCTGGCTCACTATCAACTCTTGACTCTATATTCTTGAATTTAATTTTTTGTTTAATCCTGAATCTTCCTCAATCTTAGTCAAGTCTCTTAAAGTCTCTTTGTTCTCTTGAAGTCTCTCACGACAATCTGACAGAATTAAGAGTATCAAAAGTTTGCAATTTCTCTGAAATCACTTTTCAGTTGAAGTTGAAGTTGAAGATTCCATATCTAAAAACCCTTTTCGATCACCTTTAAAGCCAATTCCGGGGATTTTCGTTTCCATCACCTCACGAAAAGTCTCCAATTAAAACTGAAGGCACAAGTTGTCCGGAGATAATGAATGGCTACAGTTTATATCTATTTTCCTTTTCTTTTTCTATCGATTCAAATCCACAGTCGTCATTTGCAACGCCAATTATCTACTGATTACAGGATTCGGTCCCAAGTGAGAGCACTTCTAATTTCAGGGAACCCATCCCCATCTCCCGGTGATTTCTCTTTCTTTCTCTTTCTTTCTCTTTCTTTCTCTTTCTTTCTCTTTCTTTCTCTTCCCGTTTCCAAGGAGTCTCTTTCTTTTCCGAGATTCTTTAAAGAAAATTTTCCAAGTTTTGATCTTTTTAGGATTTTAATACTGTAGATGAAATTATCCTTAAGACTGCAATTCTTTAGAATATGGCGCCAGATTGGTGCTTATTTTTCCATACTTTTCCACCACTTCAACCATTTGATATCTCACTCATCTAACTTTCCAAATGGTTGACCGATTTGCTAACTTTGCTAACTTTTTTTTGGATTTCCAAAGTTGACAAGTTGAGTGATTTGTCTTTTACCCATTTCGAGAAGTTCATCCATTCCTTTCCTCTTCACTTATGCCAACACCTCTTTTTTTCCTCTCTTTCTTCACTCAAGGACACAGATCACTTTTTATAATTTTTTTTCTTTGCTAACTTTAGTCACTTTTTGTAAACTCATTAATTTTGAGTGTGCTAATGAACGGTAAAACTTCACGATTAGTTTTAGAGAAAGTTCACTTCAAATTTCTGGACCTAACCGGCCTGATCAGCTCTGTTTTAGACCTTGTATTTAACAAATTCTTATTTCAAGTTTTTACAACAAAAATATATCTTAAAACTTTTGAATTTATCAATTGTGTAATCGAAATCAATCTCAAAGCTTTTCTATTTAAATTCGAAAGTTTCCTGCTTGAAACTGATCCTCTCAATCTCCTCTCAAAAATCAAACATTTAATGGCATTTGCTTTGATGCTTAGCCATTCTCGGTCACTAATGGATGACCGGTAAATGTTGTTTTCTCTTGATCTTCTTCAGGAATGGTCACCCAATCTCTCTAGAGACAATCCCCGTCTTTCGGGAATGGGGAGTGCCCTCTCCAAAAGTTTACCCTTTCTCCCAACTTTGGTGGGTAAACTTGGCCATCCGGGAGACAATGAGTGACCCGGAGTTTAATCTTGTACCATTTATGATTAGAATTTTTTTAGATCTCAGTTAGATACTTCTTAACTAGTCTAACTAGTTAAAAAGTGAGTCAATCGACTAAACTTTAACTACCGTATTTTCTCTAATAGTAGTGCACCCAGAGCGTCGTCTAAATTCCTCGAAATCTCGATGTGGGATCGGAAAATGTAGCTGACGATGAGATCTAGTGGGGGATTAGATTATTGAGCTTCTGCAAAAGCTTGGAAATCGTAAAATAGTCACCAACTCGCCGGGGTGCACTACTATTAGAGAAAATACGGTAAATCACTTATTTACTGTTAGCAATTGTTATTTCTTTAGATTTAAATCATTCTTCAATCATTTAAAACTTTGAAATGTATCATTTTGAATAATAGAAATTGAATATACATTGATTCCATTTCCATATCTCGAGTTATAGACGGTTCAAGTTGATCAACTTTTCCAGGTAAGTAGTTCAACTTTGACGCAAATTTTCTCTATGTTCTTATACATGAATATACAAAATAAATTTGACTTTTCTATAGCCACCTTTTTCTATACCGATTCAAACCGATTTGGATCTTGCTTTTTGCAGAATTTATCTCAATGCTGCCTCACTATCAACTCTTGACTCTATATTCTTGAATTTTTTGTTTAATCCTGAATCTTCCTCAATCTTCCTCAAGTCTCTTGAAGTCTCTTTGATCTCTTGAAGTCTCTCACGACAATCTGACAGAATTAAAAGTATCAAAAGTTTGCAATTTCTCTGAAATAGCTTTCATATCTCGAGTTATAGACGGTTCAAGTTGATCAACTTTTCCAGGTAAGTAATTCAACTTTGACGCAAATTTTCTCGATGTTCTTATGCATGAGTATACAAAATAAATTCTACTTTTCTATAGCCAAATTTAATGAGGATCATTTTAAAATCAACCTCAAGTCGATCTGATTACTGGGAGTCGGGTTATAGAGTAAATTTCAATCTGTGAATCATGTCTAAATGGACAATGAAAGAGATTTGAACCTAAAAATAGCTCATTCCCATTCCAAGTATTCTAGTTTCCGCTTTCGAAATAGATTACTTCAAAATTCTTTGACCAAACGCAAATTAGTGTTTCCTTGTCAATGGGAAATTGCGAAGCAAATTTTGGTCTAAAAATTTCGATTCCCCATTGAACACATGTTTCATTGAGCCTGCATCACTTTTACTATCACTCTCAAATGATTTCATTTACAAATCCATGATCGTCATCACCCTAATGGCTTTTCCATTCACCTGTTCTTGAAAAAATCTTTGCTATCTAAATAATTCCCCTTTTGTTTAACCCTTTTATAGCTCTCTTTCTCATTACCGTAATCGTAATTGCAGGTGCACGAGGCGGAGTCCCACAACGAGAAAGACAAAAGAGGGACTGAAAAGAGAATGGATCAACAGTCATCTTGTTGTACTGAGTGTGGATTCACATCAAACGATATGATTCTTTTCACGCAACACGTTGAACAACATGAACGACAAATGGTGAACACAGCCGGCAGTGAATCAAATGAGCAGGTAAATAACTGTTATTGTTAAAGATCCTCTTGATAAAGCTATCGTAACTCTAATCCAGCTTTTCTATTGTAATCTGAGCACTTGAATGAACCTATAACTTGTACAGATGAGTAGCTTAAAATAAATAAATAAATAGATTACAAATTGGTTACAATAGCTACCGTAACTCAGTGGAAAAGCTACTGCGATTACGGTAGCTTGTAGACCTTTTAGAAAATCCAAGGTTAAACCACTAGTCTTGTTTACAAAAGTTCTAGAATAAAACTCAAATCCTAACCTTTATAATTCAAATTCAAACTTAGCGCTTATTCCCTAGAAAACCCATTCACTGATTAGATCTCCTTCCGTTATAACTCACAAAGTTCATTCATAAAGAAAAGTCACCGATTCAAGGCGCCAGGATTTGTTCTTTTTAAGGGGAAATGTCCTTGAGTCCCTTGTCGACCCTTTTTGCCATGCATCGTCTCAAAACGGAGATCCTGAGAGCGATAATTTTTTCGAAACGGCCGATCTCCAGATCCATCCACACCCCTTTTACATGAACTTGAGTCAAGGTCTTTTATTGGAAAAGATAAATGAATGGATTTCCTTTAGGATCTGAACTTAAAAGGGTCAACTTTTAAAATAGTAGACAAATTGAGAAATAGAAGTCTTTTAGTAAAGTTGGGTACTGATCTTATAGCTTTCCAATACCGATTTACACAGCACATTTATCTAAATTAAATCCAAAACCTAAATACAGTACCCAGTGAACAATCCACAATTGTTTTAAGGCATTAAAAAGTGTATCCATCGACTTGTTAACATTGGATATAATCCGAATATACCAGACTTCAGAATTGAACACAAAATAAGCCATTTCAATCAATGTTTACAGAACTTTCTGTTCCATTTTAGCATAGATTGGCTCTTGATTCCTGATCAACAATAGAAACTTAAACATTTGACTTATCCATTCATTTCTAGAGCACCGATTGGACTGAGGAGAATGTCGATTCCCCGACTTCATCTCCACGCGATTCCCTCTCGTCGATGGGTGAACGATCTCCACCATTGATACTGAATGTTTCGGGAAAAGCTGAAAAGAGAGCCCACGTCTGCCCGCATTGCAATTTCACCACTTTCATGTCGCAACATATGAAGAGTCATTTGGTGAGTGTTTGAAAATGGCGCAGGCTCAGGCTCAGGCTCAGGCTCAGGCTCAGGCTCAGGCTCAGGCTCAGGCTCAGGCTCAGGCTCAGGCTTAGGCTCAGGCTCAGGCTCAGGCTTAGGCTTAGGCTTAGGCTCAGGCTCAGGTGCACTAAACTTGAAAATTCGATAGTTCTTGTTAGGACAGTTCTTGTTCTCGTTCTTTAAGACGATGTTGTTTCCCAGCGGTGACTCAATTCACGAATACTAACTCTCAAAAGTTCTTTGGGATCCCGGAAGTGACCGTTAGGATCAACCGCGCGGGACCAATTAAGGAAAAGAGAGAAGAAAAGTAAAAGGAAGGGTCAACTCTCACTCAACTCGCAAAGACTCTTGGATGGGCTAGGGTCGGACTGTTTACAGATCTCCGGGAGGCCACAAAAGAATTCTCTTTACTCCTTTAAGGGAAAGTTTGTTGTTTGGGACCCTCTCTGGGAAGAGTCTCATCTCTCTTCTCTACCAGAGTACCCCCAAGTTTTCCTTCCTTAGACTCAACGTGAATCTCTCGCGAAAATAACATAGATAGAGCTATTTTTAGAACAATATATTTAACAAGCAAAAGAAAACTTGAAGCTTTCTAGCAGATGGATTAAAATAGAGTAAAAGTACTTGTACTTGTTTCTTTGTTGTAAGTCTACTTGTAAGACTTGTTAGAAGTCGATAGAGAAAGCTCAATGCGTCAGAAAGCGTGCGTTTGATCAAGCATAAAGTGCAGTTTCTAGAAAAATAGTAATAGAGAACACTAGAGAACGTGTGTCTGTTCGTTTTCTGTTGAACAGACGACTTTCCAAGACTGGATAACTGATAACTGTTCGATAGCTATAGAAGCTATAGCTTTTGTTCGATAGCTATTCGATAGAAGACTTCTCAGAAAACAATCTTCCTGAGTCTTAAACATGCACACGTTCATAAAAAAATTTTCTTCCGATCGGTGCCTGGGGGTGCTCGCCTTTACCAAGTCCAAAGGGGAAGTCCCCTTTGGATTGTTGACCCAAGACCCGAGAAGATCGGCGATGAAAAAGAAAGAAAGGTATTGTAAGTGAGAGAGTTTTCTCTTTTCTTTTCAATTGACCCCACGTCGAGACGCAGCTTCCGCCTTTTTGACCGCGTGTGAGTGGAAATCGAGAAAAATCGAGGAGAAGGAAAACACAAACAATTTCACTCATCCTAAATCTCTTCCTGGGGTAGACAGTTCACTTAAATCTCCCTTGCCATTTGAAAATTTAAGATTGAACTTAATCTTGTCAACTTTGTTTGATCTAAAGGAATCGATTTGAAACGAAACTTTCTTGACTTTAGCTTTTGAATCAAAACTTTGAATCTTTTAGGTCAATTTAAACTTCTGATTTACTATTCTAGAAGTTCTTAACTTTAAAGCTTTCAAAAATTCTTTCAAAGCCATTCTTGCCTCTCCAAAATTGTTTTAGAAATTAGCTTTAGAATTGTTTCGACTTAAAGCTTTATCTTCTCAATTTCAGGAAGCTCACGAGCGTCACCAAGGCCAAATGTATCAGTGTGATATCTGCCAGGTTAGCGTTGATGCAGAAAGAAAAATTTGAACTCAAACTTACAGATGCAGTTCAGTCAAAAAGCGAATATGCATCGGCATAGAATGAGACATTCCGGTGTCAAACCATACGAGTGTCGCTATTGTAAGAAGCGATTTTTCCGAAAAGATCAGGTAGAGACGATTTTTCACAAAACCTATAGACTTTTTTACTTGTTTTCACAAGAATTCTGCATCCTTTTGGCTTATTTTCCATTCAAATTCATTTCGAAAAGAAAGGCTAAAGAAGTTTCGATTCTTGTTTCATTGCTTTATTTCTTTATTCTGATTCAGCTGGATCCTTGTTTTCTAGAATGACGCTTTCTAGAATTTCAGAATCTTTTCTTGAATGTTTTCTAGAATTTCAGAATCTTTTCTAGAAGTAACTGTTGAAAAACGAGTAAATAACGCAAAAATCGAAAATTTTCTGAAGAAAACTAGTGAAAGCTTTGATTAAATTTGCAAGATTTTAAGGGAAACTTTGAAATAAATATCTTTAAACTTTAAATTCAAAACTTTAAGGAAAGCATTAAGACAAAAGATCGAGTAGATTTCTCGATTGCAAACTAGTATTACGATTTTTTTGAATATTACAACAATTCCTGAGAAACAGAGAAACAAATTCCCATTCCAGATGCAAGAACACTCAATGACGCACATCAAAACGGGTGCCGATTTCGACTGTCCCGTGCACGGATGTCCAGCAGTTTTCACGCAACACTCAACTCTAAGAACTCATCTAGATGAAGCGCACATCATTTCCCCATCAGCTCCTGCAAGCTGCAAATTGTGAGTAGATCTTTGCTTGATTTGCTTGATTAGATTTAAAGTTGGATAATTGGCTAGAGTGAGTAAATGATTTCAAGTGAACTGAATCAAAATTGGTTATAATAGCACCAAAAAAGTTGGACTTGTTTTAAAATTTTACCTCGGAATTCTTGTTTGCCTTTAAAGTTAGCCTAGAGTTTACCAATAAATTTCAGATTAGATTAGCTTGCTTTGAAAAACAGTTGAGCTTTTAAACTCTTAAAACTTCAAAACTTGATAATCTCATAAATCTTTGCCCAATTTCCCCAAAAATTCTTTTCCTTTTCCAGATGCACATTGCTCTTCTCGAATTCGCGTCGTCTTCTCCTCCATTATCAGACAAAACACGATGATTCAGAGGTACAACAAATCCATTTTTCATTTCAAGAATCCAAATATTGTAAAAGCTTATAAAAAACTTGAAAAATCACCTTCCAATTATCTACCGTAAATACTGTAATAGTACCGCACCCCCATAATGACGGTGCGGTATGTTGCGTAGTCGAGCTTTGAACGAGTTTTTCTCGAGATTGGTTTATGCTACAATGCGCACTTAGATATCAAAAAATAGCTGAAATTCAGGGCTATTTTTTGATACCAAAGATAGTGACGGTGCGGAGTGTTGCGTAGTCTAGCTTTGAACGAGTTTTTCTCGACACTGGTTTATGCTACAATGCGCGTTTAGATATCAAAAAATAGCCCTGAATTTCAGCTATTTTTTGATACCAAAGACGCATTTTTTGAAAGTACGGGTGCTTTGAAAAAAATGAAATACTAAAAACCTTTTGCTACGCGACTGTACGAGGGGGGTGGGGTACTATTACAGTATTTACGGTAAGTTATTAGATGTTACATTAATCCATAAACAACCCTAAACGTCCGAATGAACTAAAACCAAATTATTGTACGAGGGGGATGGGTACTATTACAATATTTACGGTAAGTACTCAAGCTTTTTTGAAGCACTGAATCAAGAAACCCTTAAAAATAATAAAAGGTTATTGTAACAGGTGCTTTTTAATAAAGAGCCGGGTGATTTTCAATCTTTCAAAGAAATAAATCGTTTTAGGCATCGGCTATGCTGAGAGCAGAGATTAAAAGAGAACCGAGAAAGAAAAGAACACATCAAACGATTGGAGTGATGGAGCACAATCCCTCCCCGCCACAACACACAATTTTGCCTACAGCTAACATTGTGGGTTTGAGAAGTTGACAAAATCTTAAGCAAAGTTTATTAAAAACCTTTTGTTATTCTATTTACTTAGAAATTTTGTGTACTTAATCTTTCTGGCGTTCCTGGAGATCGAAAAATAAATGCCAGAAAGGGTACGTTTTCTATTTTTAAGCACAAAGTACAAGAAAACACAGGAGAATTGAAATTTTTGGCTTTCTGAAGACAAATAGCCAATAATGGTAAAATCAAGTTGTATTAAACTGCCAAAAAAAAGCTTTGATTTGTAAATTACAAAGATTTTCTTTTATTATATGTTAAAGATTCGTATTTTATTACCCTAATAAACTGAAATAAACTGAAATAAACTGAACTGAGATTTCTAGATGCAACCAATCCCTCTTCTTCCATCAGCTGCCGCAATGGCTGCTGCTCTTCAATCTCATATTCAACAACTTGTTCAAAAGGATTTACCTCTCCCCTACAAAGTCTCACACCTGATTTGTCACAGAAACAAGAATATGAGAGAGTTGGTGGAATTTGATTGGTCATTATTATGATTATCTTTCAGCCCTACCTCTCTAGTGAAGAGCTTCTCGTCGCTCTTTCTAACACAGCCGCTGTGCAACAAGCACTCTTATCGGTAAATTTCTTTGAAAACCTTTACAGAGCTTTTAATTTCAATATTCTTTCAGGATACAAAAGAATCAGTGCTTCGAATGTGGGCTGGTGAATTGAGCGCGAGTGGGCTCTCATCATTACCCTCACCCACACCCCAATCGCATTCACCATCTGTTGACAGTGGAGCCTCGTCTGGAGAAGGGACTGAAGATTCCGCTACAAAAGATGCATTGGTCAGTGAAAGCAAGAAACTTTTTACACTAGAATAATCGTAAGCCTAGCTTAGAAAATTGTTGATTGATTTAGAATAAAAAAGAAAAGATTTTAACTTTTTTAAAACCCTAGCTAATGTAATCCTTTCCATTGGGGAAAACGATTTTAACTGTTTAACAGTTTAACAGTTATCAATTAAGTTTTAACAAAGTTAAACCAAAACTAGATCAAGTTTTGATTTATTATCAAACTCAGTCGATTTTCAGGACTGTACCCATTGCGGGATTGTCTTCTTCGATCGTACCCTTCAATTACTTCACAAAGGACTCCACTCCGAGCACGAGCCATGGCGTTGCAATTTATGCGGTCATCTGTGTGCTGATAAATACATGTTCACAACACATATCATCTCTTCAAATCATGTAGCCTAGATTGTTAGATGTAAAGTATTCCTTTCTTGATCCTTTCCATTGGGATTTAAAATGAGATAAAAGTGATAACACTTAGGTCAATGATTGCTTTCATTTTGGTCAATGATTGCTTTCATTTTGGTCATTGATTGCTTTCATTTTGGTCAATGATTGCTTTCATTTTGGTCCATGATTGCTTTCATTTTGGTCAATGATTGCTCAATTAGAATGAAAGACTTAGGTCAATGGTTCCTTTCAATTTTGTCATTCTGATCATTTTACTCATTTTGCATTCTTTCAGTAAAATGGAAATTTGTTTTGAATAATATAAGATATCTAAAAACTCGTTTTCCTTTAAGTTTAGCTTCTTGATAACAAAAGATATTCAATCAATAAATCAAAATTGAATCTAGTTTTGGTTTAACTTTGTTAAAACTTAATTGTTAACTGTTAAAATGTTAAGCTGTTAAACTGTTAAACTGTTAAACAGTTAAACAGTTAAACAGTTAAACAGTTAAACAGGTAAACAGTTAAACAGTTAAACTAGTTTCTCCCAATGGAAAGGATTACAATAGCTAGGGTTTTAAAAAAGTTAAAATCTTTTCTTTTTTTATTCTAAATCATAGAATTCTAATGTAATCACAAGCGCTTTCTTTGTGTTTTTGAAATTTCTTTTTTTTATTTCCCAAGCTTCAACCATTCATATCCAGGTTTTTTTGCCTCCAGCTTTGCTAAAAAAAATTTTTGACTTCTTTTCTTAAACCAAAAAGATTTTCTTCTAAAAAAATCGATTTTCTTCTGTTTTTTCTTTGTATTTATATCGGGTTTTCTTCTTTTATTTAAAGAAGAAATCTTTTATTTCTTCTTTTCCTTTTTTTATGACCATTTTTCAGGTTTAAATTCAATCATTACAGAGAAAATTCCAAAATTTACATGATCTACCGTTATTTTATGTCTTTTATTGTTTTGTTCTTTTGAGATTTGTGATATTTAAAGCTTTCTTTATCTACTTTGTACAAATATTGCTTTTGTCATTCAATAGTAAATTATTTTTAAGTTTATTTTTACGCGAAAACACGAAAACACCTGCAAATGAAAGCCAATTAGCAAACAAAGCGACAAATGACATTTACTTTACATTTACGGAAACAAAAAACATATTTTTAAGCTGAAATCTCGAGTTTTCTGTGACATAAAATACCCTAAAGTCTCCATTAAGATTAAGATTAAGAAGACTAAAGTCGATTAAGAAGGACTCCAAACTTGAATTAACGATGCATTCGATTCATGATCCCGTAAGTTGATTGAATTACTCCTGGGTAACTTCACACATTAAAAGTAGCTACTATTTCATAACTGCATATAAGTGTTATTAAATACCCTAAAGTCGCGAGTATAAGTTCTGTTTGGTTTTCGCATGCAAATTGATGGCTGTCTCCGGTGCGGTGTGTCGAGGGTTCGGACCCCGCTGCAGCATAACTTCTTTGCTTTTTAAGAACAATAATAGAAGTAAATTTATTGAGGGTTATAGCAATTTTATGCTGTTATTTGTTGCTCCGGGCGTGGCTCGGCGCGTCCGCCCTGCTCCTCTCCGGTGCTCAGTCTTATGGATCCCTCCCTGGCCCCTTCATCCGGCCAAAGTTCACGTCGACGGTCGAAAGAGATGCTTTCCAGCGTCTTCTTCAACACTATCATCTGGATGTACACATAACAAATAGCAATGGTGATAGGCTGTCACCCTGTAGTATCCCGCGCTCCAAGAACAATAATAAAAGTTTATATAACAATAAAAATGTATAAAAACCCAACAAAAAGAAATTCAAAGCAATTAAAGCGAATGTAAATTAAGTCAGAACTTATACTCGGATGAAATTATACTCGAGACTTTAGGGTAAGTGATTTTTAACAGGAAACAAGTCTCACATATCATAATCCTAGGTATTGTTGTGAGTTCAAATAACTAAATTCTTAGGCTTAATATCTATCCATTAGGTTATCTATTCATATCAAAAGCTGTTATTGATATTGTACACAGATCAGTCAAACAGCAAGAGGAGAACTCGAGGCGGTGTGTGCTTGTTATTTGGATTCAAAGCAGCACGTTGTTGAGACTGTCGTTGAAGTGCTTGAATTGAGGATAAAGTTTAATATATCTATATGAAATTAAAGAAATTAAATAATTGGGCATCGATTTACAGTCGAAAAACCAAGTTTCCATAATTGTGCGCCATTGTGTAAGCCCAAAATTGTAGACTGAGATTCAGAGATCTTTTGAAAGCCATCAAAATCATGAGAACAGTTGAAATATCTTTTATTTCTGCAGTTTCTTCCAATTCAATTTCTCAATCGTTTTACTTGAGGATTGCTAATCGCAAATTTATGCCTCAATGTTTTCAAATGAAAAATTTCGGCGTAGACAAAACTTTTCGAGAATCCTCCGTCAATTCATGGTCAATCCGAGAATAAAAAGCCTTTCGAGAGGTGAAAGGAATCGAGGAATTCACAGATCTTTTGAATAGAAACTTTTTTTGGTTTCATCATAAAGTTTGAAGTAAAGAAACTTTAATAGAACTTTTGTACATTCTTGAACTCATCCTTTGCTTCTAAGAAGGCTTTGTAAATTTGATTTACCATTCAGAATTCAGCATTTTTTGAATTGTCTTTAAACTCACTCAACTGCTCTTAAGATTATAAAATTTCCATAGCCGATTTCCTTTTAGTTTTGGGTATTCGTTGAATTCGAGATGTTGCTGATCGTTTTGGCGGCAGTTGTTGCCACAGTCACTTGTCAATATGGTGGATACGGTGGAGGTGGTTATGGAGGTGGAAACTATCCACAACAATACCCAAGACCACTCGTGAGTTTTTCAAGTAAAGGAAAAGGTACTAGAAGTGAGAAGTAACTTGTAGACATTTTACCGTAATGTACCGACATTGTACCAAGTACTCAGTCTTATAACCGATAATATTTAAGCCATACAGAGTTTTTGAAAGTCTACCATCTAACGGAATCATCTAATGGATTCATCTAACGGAATCAAAGCACTGTAACCGTAGTTCATTAACCCTGTACATCTTGCAAATACTCATTCTACCTTTTGCCCGATTTCCCTGGCAGTCTACTGTAGAGATTAGAGTCTTTTCCTCACAAGTAATGCGTTTTTTTTAAAAACGCATACTTGGGAAACATTACCGTACTTTTAGTGAAAATTATTGCAGAAAATTAGCCCGAAAGAATCAAAGGCTGGCTTATATACGACTTCTTTTAAAGATATTCAGCTGTTTAATTGATTTTGTAGGAAATTCCCCTCAAATGTAAAGATATTCAATTGACTGTAAAGAGGATTACTCGTAGTGACTCGGCGTAAAACGTCGATTACTCATGCAAATTTTACTCGGAAGGAACAAACTCTGGTAGAAATTACTGTAGAAATTACTGCAGTAACTGTCGAAACTTTACTGTCGAAATTGCTACATAATACAAATCTTTTTAAGCTTTCAAGTATTCTCTAAACTTACATCAGTAAGCCTTGAAAGCAAATCAAAGTCTTTTACAGTCAAATCCCTTCTACGATTCAAGCAGCAGCAGCAGCAGCAGTGGCAGCCATGAGAAGTGTACGTAAAGTTTTAGTTTACATTTTGCAATCTCCTGCTCAGTCAGTCCATTAACTACCCTTTTCAGACAAATGCCGTCGATGCAAGCACTCAAAACTTGAGGGATCTTGCGAGGATTCGACCGAGTACACGAACGCCACCTGCAAGGAAGCCGATTTCGATTACACGTAGGTTTTAGGGAAAGTTCTAGATAAAGTTGATATTAATCAAAGAGATGACTAATTTAAAAAGCATACTATAATGGCTTAGAAGGCTTAAAGTTTACAAAATTTCAGTGGTGAAGACGGATGTGCCTTCGCCATTGTGTCGTGCCGTGCCAAGAAGAATCTCGTTGGAGCCATTGTTCCAAAGGATGGAAAAAAGACTAAGGTTGGTGAAAAGATAGAGCTAAATTTCGTTACTGTTTTCTAAAGGACAATGCTTTTCAATTTAGCCAATCGTCGTCGGTTTTGGAGACTTGCACTTGACTGTTGATTGCTCGAGTCACAAGTTAGTAACAGTAAAATCTAATGCTCATTCTAGACTAGCAAATAGCTTCCAGTTAGAGTCAAGCTCAATTTTTGATTCGTTAAACTCTTTAAAACATTTACTAATTGTAAGGCAAGTATTAGAGCCAAACAACGGAGAATTCCAGGAAATGGTACGTGGGAAAGCACCACCGCAAGCATCGCTCCTCTTCATCCGACTCCTCTTCATCATCGTCATCTGGAGACAGTCATGACCGCAGACACAAGAGATCGATTGAAGATGGAGATGATCAAGGAGATGATCAAAGACGTGGTGGACGTGGAGGGTGAGTAGCACAAGTTTTCTTTTGAACTACCAGCTAGAAAGCTAGAACTACCACTAGTTCTTTTTTTTGACTCTTAGACTTTAAAATATAAGATACTGTCAAAATAAATACTATCTTCGGTTTGCAGAGATGACGACGATCATCACCATCATCACCGACGCCGAAACAATGGCAACAATGGGCCATGGGGAAAAAGAGATGGAGCGTGGGTGCAGAATCTTCATTCAAAACTGATTTTACTACTCTTACAGTAGCTAAAATGCTTAAATTTAAAGATTCTCATATATAAAATCTCTTAAAATCTCCCTATAGCAAGATTTTTAGAAAAACCGTGACGTCACCAACCTCGTCTGCTTGTATTTTGATCCGTAAGTTTTCAGTGTACAGAAAAGGCTATTATTTAAAAGTAAATCTTATATTTTGTAACTTTAAAGCTTTGTTTGAAGATTTATTATTTAAACGTTCAATTTCAGCGCCGATTTCACCACAACAACCGCCGCTCCAACTACCACAACCACAATCGCCACTACTACAACCACCCCTGTTGCTACTGTGTAATAAACAATCGGAAAGAGCTTTGTTTCTCAATAAATTATTGTAACTCTTTTTGATTTTGAAGTATTATATATAACAAAACACAGCTAAATACACGCAAATGAAAGTCTTTCTTCTAAGCAATCGATTCAACTTTGAGTCGGTGTAACGAGAGATAAAATTGGGCTTGTTCAAGTTGGTGTCAAAAAAAAAGATTAAAGCAGAATTTCCATTCTAGTGTTCAAGTGCCCTCGAATCTAACGGTTTCGGAGCACGAGGGTAAATGGAAAAAACCAAGAATCGATCGGAAGCGCAAACATGCCGCTAAAGGTTAATTTTATGCACGAGAATAAGTTTTCAGTGTACAGAAAAAGCTATAGTTTAAAAGTAACTCTTATATTTTGTAACTTTAAAGCTTTCTTTGAAGATTTATTGTTTAAACTTTCAATTTCAACTCCGATTTCACAACAACAACCGCCGCCTCAACTACCACAACCACAACCACCACTGTTGCTGATGTGTAGTAAACAATCGGAAAGAGCTTTGTTTCTCAATAAATTATTGTAACTCTTTTTGATTTTGAAGTATTTTATATATATAGTATAACAAAACACAGCTAAATACACGCAAAAGTCTTGTTTCTTAGCAATCGATTCAATTTTGAGTCTGTGTAACGAGAGATAAAATTGGGCAAGAAAATTGCGCGTTTTCTGTAGAAATTTTGATCTTGCCTGTAGAAAACTTGGTTACGCAAAAGAATAAACCCATAGATAAATGCTCTACATAGAATTTTTCTTTATTAATCTATCAACCAGATTTCCTATCTATTTCATTTTCAACATGGAACTTTTCTTTTCTTCTTGCCAACAAAAATTTCGCTATGCTAACTGGAATCTTCCATGGATAAAATGGTGTAAGTAAAGATAATTTCTTAAATTAAATGGGTTTTTGTAACTTAAAAAAGCAAAAAAAGAATTAGTAGTGAGGAGGATCGAACCAGGATCAAAAGGACCAGGATCGAACACCGGCACACTATCTCCTACACCATCTAATTGCTTGTTGAAAAAAAATTCGCTATCCTAACTGGGATCTTCGATGGATAAAATGGTGTCGGTAAAGATAATTTCTCTAATTCTTTCAAATCCCGGCAAAAAGGATTATCGACAGTTGCCGACCGGTTCTTCGCTACATGTTTTTATGGAGCCAGCTTATTATTTCGCCATCACTTGTCGAAATATCAAGCTCAAAGTGAGGCCAAGTAAGCCCTTTACCCATTTCAATTCTAAACTTTAAAAAGTACAGTCTAACAATAAGACAATGATGTTGACTGTAAGCTCTTGAGGGTTACCAAACAAAGTGCAAATCAAACTTAGAGAATGACGGATTGCCTTTTTAACTTAAAAATTTCTACACTCCGAGTTTTGGTTTCAAATCGTGATAAAATTAAACTTTGCATCATCTCCTTGCACAAGGCGAGAATTCGCTTTATTATCAAACTGGCAAAAAGGATCATCGACAGTTGCCGATCGGCTCCTCGCTACACGTTTTTATGAAGCCAGCTTATTATTTCGCCATGACTTGTCAAAATATCAAGCTCAAAGTACCAAGGTGTTTTTGGTAAAAAGAACACCTTGTGCAAGAAGAACACCTTGTGCAAGAAGGACACCTCAATAAAAAACGGCTTATCAAATCACTGTTTCTCTTTTTTTACCCTTCTCTCCACTTTTCATTAGAGGTATTCAAAAAACGATATATTGGGTGAGGCTTGAGCTTACTGGACACCGATGGTCCCGAGTTTTTGACTCAAAACTTTTAAACTCCGTGTTTTGGCTTGAAATGAAAAAAAAAACAACGTGCTTGAACTTTGTATTCCTCTTGCACAAGTCGGCCTCTTACACAAGTCTTTATCTCATTATTAAGCTGGCAAAAAAGAAACGATTGATGAGAGCTGTTATTGAACCAAACCCATGACTCATGATTTCAAATAAAATTCATTAAATCATTCCTTTTTCATAAAAACCCTTCATATCCAAGTTATCGAATTTGAAAATTGAAAATTCCTTTTAAAAATTTGATCCTTGATCTTGGAAAATCGTTTGATCAACTGATAGCAATTCAAATATCCATTATTTCCTAATCTCATATCTCTTTTCTGATTGTCTGTAGGTTATCGAAAGATCAGTACCCAGTAAGCTTAAGCCTCATTTCCTTATCAACACTTAAAGCCCCATCATCAACCTGTTAAGTAAGAACTCTTTGCGTGAAGTTCGATCGGGCAAAAAATCGTTATCAAATTACCGCTTTTCTCTCGTTTCTATCATTTTTTACAAACGGTTCATACATAAGAAATTTTCGCAGCCCTATAAAACTCGGGTTTAGCCTTATCAGTTTCATTGTTGTTCAACTTCTGTAAATAGTAAACCCGATGCCCAATCTTTGAAAAACTTAAATTTTATAATCTTTTAAAGCTTATAAGATAAAGAACTTTTAACTCTTGTTGATCAATTTCAAACTTGTCGACACTTTTTTCAAGGTGTTCTTATCGTTGTCTCTTTTTTTCTTTTCAATAGTGAGTCATTTCATTTTTTACCTGCTCTTGGCTCTCGAAATATTGATTAGTTTCTAGTTATTGAAAGTGATTTAAATATCCTATCCATAAGTTTAGTGAAATGAAAATAGTAACCTGTATTATAAACAAGCTTATCTAGATAGTTCACCCTTTTTCTCAACACCTATGTATCTTTATATTAATATTAATATCGATTAACTGCAAGTAGTGTTTGTTCTTGGAATACTGTAATAAATTTATATTTTACTACTTCAAATAAACTTTATATAGAGGCGAAAGATGAATAGCCCAGAGGACGATGCGCGCGATCTGCCGGAGTTGGCGTGCATATGGAATGGCCCAGAAATCGGCATTAGTAAGCAATTTTCATTAAATTTTCTAGTAATCTGAGTACTGACAAGATTGACAGCTCATAGTTAGTCTGACAATTTTAGTAATTTGCAAAAGAAAACATTTCTTTTAAATGTTTTTCGAATTGTTTTTTCCAATATAAAAGTGTTTACTTATTTCTAACACTTTGGAACTAAAAAAGTTATAAAATCTGCCGTCATTTTTCATCTTAGACCCAACAACTTCTGATGGCTCTTGTTCGAATGTACCATCTATCGTTGGGGCTGTGAACTCGAATGCACCGCTGCAACAACAATCTTGCTACAACGATTACTACGGGCACAGTTTACCAAATGGAGTTCAAACAGGTACTTAATAAAATCATATCTGGAAAAGATAATTTTTCAGCTGTCATTAATTTTAGCTTAATTCTCTCAGCAGCTATTTCTATAAAAGTTTTATTTACTTATTTCTAACACTTTGAAACTAAAAAAGTTATCACGGTGTGTTATCAGCTGAGAACCCGAATGCACCACTACAACAACAAAATTACTACTACGGGCACGTTTTACCACATGCATTGCAAACAGGTACTTAATAAAATCATATCTGGAAAAGATAATTTTTCAGCTGTCATTAATTTTAGCTCATTTCTCTCAGCAGCAATGGATGCAAGCACCACCTATCTTCTACCAATCTGAAGGTAAGCAAATGCTTGATTTATATCATCATTTTTCATCTTAGCCTCAACATCTTCTGATGGCTTTTGTTCGAATGTACCACCTATTGAGGTTGTGAACCCGAATGCACCGCTGCAACAACAATCTTACCACTACAAGCACGGTTTACCAACTGGGTTGCAAACAGGTACTTAATAAAATCATATCTGGAAAAGATAACTTTTCAGCTGTCATTAATTTTAGCTCATTTCTCTCAGCAGCAACCGATCCGATCAACCGTTGGGGCTGTGAACCCGAATGCACCGCTGCAACAACAATCTTGCTACAACGATTACTACGGGCACAGTTTACCAAATGGAGTTCAAACAGGTACTTAATAAAATCATATCTGGAAAAGATAACTTTTCAGCTGTCATTAATTTTAGCTCATTTCTCTCAGCAGCAACCGATGCGATCTATCGTTGAGGCTGTGATCCCGGCTACACCGCCGCAACAACAATCTTACCACTACGGGCACAGTTTACCAAATCGATTTCAAACAGGTACTTAATAAAATCATATCTGGAAAAGATAACTTTTCAGCCGTCATGAATTTTAGATCAATCCTCTCAGCGGCAATGGATTCAAGCACCACCTATCATCTACCAATCTGAAGGTAAGAAAATCCTTGATTTATTGAAGCTGGTTGAATTAAAGCTAGTTAACGTATGTGAACATGTTTCAGACCAATTCTACCAACAACATAATGGAAACTTAAATTCTGCGGATCAAGTTGAAGTCGACAACTTCACTGCCGCAGCAGAACGACTAACACTCCCGCAATTGAATCATTTGGCGGATGCAGTGGTTAGTGCAACAGAACTTACTAGGGAACTGTTTCAACTCGACATCGAGTCGACCTAGCTTAAAAATGCGCTCTCAAAATTTGAAGCGACACATGTTTTTTAATTTTACTGAACCAATACAAAATTCTCTAGGTAAACGCCTTTGAAGTTTGGGTACTTTTTGGAAAAACGGCACCGCCGCGGTATAGGGCCGTAATTGCTCGCTTTCCAAAAGCAACTAGATGGTCTAGGAGATGATGTGCTAGTGATCGGCTCCTTTTGATCCTGGTTCGATTCCCTTCACTGCCAATTCTTTTTTGTTAAGTTATAAAAATCCATTTGGCATTAGATATTAGCCAAAATAATGTTTCAGAATTTTTCTCAAAACTGATTTTGGACATAGATTTTTCTTTCCTTAGACATTTAGAAAAAGCAAAAAAAGAATTGGCAGTGAAGGGAATCGAACCAGGATCAAAAGGAGCCGAGCACCGGCACATCATCTCCTACACCATCTAGTTGCTTTTTGAAAGTGAGCAATTAGGCCCTATACCGCCGCGGCGGCGTTTTTCCAAAAAGTACCCAAACTTCAAAAGCGTCTACCTAGAGAATTTTGTATTGGTTCAGTAAAATTGAAAAACATGTGTCGCTTCAAATTTTGAGAGCGCATTTTTAAGCTAGGTCTCAGCTAGCTCTTTGAGCTTGAAACAGTTCCCTAGTTAGTTTGAACTTTATGTAAACCCTTCCCTTATTTGGTCAATCTGAAAACTTTTCATTGGGAAATCCTTTTAGAATAAACTCAGAGACGACAAAATCAAGCGGGAACAAAACATCTTGTTCAAGTTGGTGTCAAAAAAAAAGATTAAAGCAAAATTTCCATTCTAGGACTCAAGTGCCCTCGAATCTAACGGTTTCGGAGCACGAGGGTGAATGGATAAAACCAAGAATCGATCCCAAGCCCAAACATGACGCTAAAGGTTAATTTTATGCACAATAATAAGTAGAATCGCTTTTGTTTCAGCAATCGTCGTTAATCCAACCGCCATTGGGACCTGTGAATATGCCAAGCTTTATGGAAAATTTACGCCTGTGGTAAAGTTCTTTACTTTATCTGATCAAATTCAACTTTCAGTTTGAAGTACAAAATTCGATCACCGCCTTTGAGTCTTTGGACACGACAAGTAACCCGTTTAAATTAGTCTTGTTATACTTTCCGCAATTCAGACATAGACGCTTTCTACGACACCGATGAGTTCAAGGCGGTTATGGAAAGTTAGAAACGAACAAAGTTACAAGCTTCAGAAATATTTTAGAGATCGAAAACGATGAGTACAAAGATGAATACATGAAATACGAATCCCGGCTGATGCAATTCATCATCTACATCTGGGCCTGGATGCCGCTCTTTTGCAAACTGAAAGAGATATTCATCGAAAAGGTGACATTTTAGTACACAGTACAGAAATTATTTTGAGAGATTGGTTTCAGGGCAAACAGGAAAATGAGTTTCCGTGCTACCAATACCGCGGGCTGAACTATTGGAACGGGAAATATTCAGCGAAAGTACGATATTGATCTCAACTTTGCATTGCCAAGATATTGAGTGATAAGAGAGTGTACTGAAGAGAATTGTACTGAAGAGAATTGTACTGAAGAGAATTTTAGGTGAAAGGCCCAAATATGAAGCGCGAAGCGGCACGTCGGAAAATCGAGGTACTCGAACTCAACAACGTCAATACGCTTGAGCTAGCGTCGGCCAGGAACGAGTTTCACCTGTGGAACAAAAAGGTTTTCGAGGCACTCAAAATGTTGGTTACATTGAGTGTTTTTTTGTTTGCAAATTATGCTTCAAGGAGAGTCATCAACACAGAAGACAGCAAGCAATCCCGAAAAAGAAAGGGCGACAAAATAAAGGAACTAGGTAAACTCAAAAGGGCAAACTGATAACTATAGTAAAACATTTCAGAAAAGAACGCCCGGGTCGTTACAACGCAGGGGTAAGCGGATGATATTTCAGGTGAGATTTACCCTTTGAAAAACACCGCTCTGATTCATAACAATGTAAGGTTAGGTAATTAGTAATTTGAAAGTGAGGCTTTGGTTTTCCTAAAATACATTTGAACCACGGTAACTTCTTCTATTGGAAATGTTTAGAGGGGAAAGCACAGCTTCTTCATGTACAGTCTCACTTCACGCAAGGAAAGCACAGCTTCTTCATGTACAGTCTCACTTCAGGAAGCAACTCTATGCACTCACCAACCGATTACAATGAGATTCTTTAAGACTTTTGTTTTTGTAATTTTTACATCTTTGCATTTTGGCCTATTTTGGCATTGTCTTGTAATTATCTAAAATTCATTCACTTGTTAACTTCGCTTAATGCACTCCTTTTCTCTGATTACAACTTCGCTTAATGCACTCCTTTTCTCTGATTACAACTTCGCTTAATGCACTCCTTTTCTCTCATCCCAAAAGCAGCTCATCTCAGTTAGAATTCAGTGTGATAGTCTTTGCTAAATGTGATTAAAGCCTAGCTTTACAGCTTTTTTTTAATAAACATTAAATCAACTTGTGAATATTGAGTTTGAACTCAAATACTTCATTCTATCATTGAAACAAAACCCGGAAAAAATCGGATTGCGGCAGAGATTTGACGCGTCGAATGGAATTTCTGATAACCCATTTAATTTTGAAGTGAGAAATTTTCGGGCACAAACAAGGGAAGCGAAGAATAAGCCGAAACTCTAATGAAGACTTTTATTCCACTTTTGCTTTGTTTATTCTTTTATTTTTCTTCAGTTCAAGGAGGTTTTAAACAAAGAAATTTTCCAAAATCTTAAATCATAGATGAAGAATCAAATGCACCAAAACGATTAGACAGCGCCGCTTATATTCGACCATGTTACTTTACGAATTGGGCGCAATATCGGTCAGTTGAACGGTTTAAAATGTACGAATAATGTATTGCAGTATAATAGCTTGGTTACTTGCAAATTTGGACCTGTAAGCTGAGCGTGTAAACTAGAGTGTGTTGCCCTCAAGAAATAGTGTGAAATAGGAAACGAGTTAGGTCGAAATCAACTGAATTCCTCAAATATCTTGCACAATTTGGAAGATATTCAGTTTATTTTAAATGCACTCGTTTCCTATCACACAATTTCTTTAGAGGAACACACTTTACTGTAAACGGTTAAAGTGCGCAGCGCATTCCGGCCTTCAAATTGAAAGATCAAATATCCAACAAACGTCTACTTATAAAGTATCTTTCACTTTAACGTATTCTTTACTTATCTATATTTAAACTTATCCCTTTCAATGTTTAGTAAGGGTAGAGCCAAGTTCCTCACGAGCGACTATAAACCCGGCCTCTGCACCCACATCATCTACGCTTTTGCCTACATCGATAAGACCGATTTTTCGATCAAGTAGGAACTATTGAGCTCTCATTTCCTTGTTTTAATACAACCCAATCATTATTTTGCTTACATTTTCCTAGAATCACTGATCCCACCGATCTCAAGGGCGATAATGGAGGACCCGGTCAATACGAGCTTGTCAACAATCTCAAGAAAATACAACCCGATTTGAAAACATTACTTTCAATCGGTGGCTGGAGCTTTGGAACAAAGATTTTCAAGGTAAAGCAAAAGTTTTTCAAACAAAAAGAAAGCTTTTTTTAGGAAATGTCTGCCAATCCCTCAAACAGAGCCGCTTTTATCAACGCAGCACTTCGTTGGGCCCGCTTGTATAATTTTGACGGTATCGATCTAGGTATCGATCAGAATCAGAATAAGAAACAGAATCGATCTAGATTGGGAATATCCAAAGAAGAAAGATCCGAATTATGTGGCTCTATTGCAGGTGATTTGAAGAATCTAATGGTTAAGCTTAATTCCAGGAGATGAGAATATCGATCACCGCCGAGGCTCGCCTTTCACAGAAAACGCCGCTCTTGTTCACGGCAGCTGTGGCGGCTGGAGCTGATGAAATGAAAGGATACGATATTCCAAATATTGCCAGGTAAAAATACAATAAACCCATTCTTACGCAACTTTAGCTCGCTTGACTTTGTCAACGTGATTACTTACGATTTCTGGACGCCTGACGATGATGAGGGAATCACCGGAATGAACTCTCCACTCTACAATCGTTCAGATCTTCAAAAGCCGGAAAGTGAATACAATACGGTAGATAAGAATGAGAATTCAAAATTAATAATGTACAGGATTGGGCTGCAAGGGCATGGAACAAAGACGGATTTCCCAAAGAGAAAGTTGTGATCGGAATTGCTCCATACGGCCACGGATGGACTTTAAAGGTTGTTGAAATCATTAATCGTAACCCCATGACCCATTTTGAGCCATGACAATTAGTAAACATTACTCCAAGTAAGGTTACTGTAGGTGCACGATAAAGTAAAATTTAGCGATTTCAAGAGTTCATTCAGCAACTCACTTTCTCAATAGCAACTGCCTAAACTTTAATGCCTCAAACGTAACAATTAAAATATAATCCATTTCAGGATCCAAATGACATTCAACCAGGCTCATCAGGCAACACTCCCGCCCCCGAATTCAAAGGCTCCGACGAGACGGGCACTGCCGCCTATTTCGAGGTAGACTCTTAAAATGTGAAACATTTATTAAAAGCACCCGTTATTCTCAAATGAATCTCTAAAAAGAATACCATAGTAAAAGCGATCAAATTACAGACAGAAAAACAACCCTAGCTTTTTATCCTAACTCGACGATTGTTTCCTCCTCTTGACAACTCTCCAATTGATAGGCCTTGCTCGATGAAAGTTGCTCAGCAAAGATTTTCCATTGAACCGTCTCAGCCTCGAACATTTGGAGCGGTGGTTGGCCTTCGAAAGCTCGACTAAAAATGAAGAAAACTGAATCAACCTAAATTACGGTTTCACTCACCAAAATACAAGAATTTCATACGCATAGTAGAGAATTTCACAGGTTTTTAGCAAACAACTTTAAACCACTTACTTCAATTCACTCTCCAATCGTTTCCAAGTGCTTCTCAAAAGTGCTCGAACATCATATCCACCACAGTAAGCCGTAAGGTGACCAATCGAGAGCATCTAAAAATCAAATGAAATAACAATTAACTAAAACACACCTTTTCAGCGAAAACAAGATTTATAAACGCGTATTGCCAGTGATTCATCACCATCCGAGAACGGAACTCACGCATCCTCTCGACGCATCCCTAAAGTATCATTGGTTCAAAAAGAATGCTATTCAGCTTACCCAAATATTGACAGTTGAGCTCAGTTGATACTGGTGAAGGCATTGAACCAAAGCAATGGCAGCTCCTAAAGAAATGAAAATGAGGAGCTTGAATGAAAAACAAACCAGTACGACCAAGTCCAGCGTGACAGTGAACGAGTGAAGGACCGCCAGTCTCTGGTTTGAGTTCCTAAACAAAATAATATATGTCAAATTTTAAGCCTAGAATTTATTAAGTTCATCATCAACAAAATATTCTAAAATTTTAAGGTAATACTTGGTAAAGATTCACCTCAGTTATGGTGTCGAGCAGTCGAAGACCAGCCTCGGAAAAAGTGTCGTTGTCGGGCGGCCACGGCATTGGAATGCGCCCATCGGGCCAACGCAAATAGCACACATGCACAACTTCACGTACACTAAAAACGGAGTTTAATAACCATAGCGATTTGTCTCAGAATCACAATCACCTATCTGGCATCGGACCGGTCACTGGGTTGATGAACGTGAGTATGAGACGAGAAAGGCGGTAGATCGTGTTCTTGTTGTCGACTGACATCTCGTTTGGTGCATACTAAAAAATGAATAAAAATAGAAATGAATAAAAGCCATACCTTGAAAACACTTGAAAGACATGTAACTTTGTAAGGCATAAAGTAGAGAACCTCTCCCGCTTCCGTTGGCCAATATCGAATCGTCTCGTGTTCGGCTGAGTAATTCTAAAGTCAAAGATTTGCCAATGTTATGAAGTAAAAAGCTGGATTCATAAATTACCCCTAAAGTTTAAAAATGACGCAGAAATCATGAAGTGTTACTCACGTTTGGATAGTAGCGCTCCTCAAAGGGGAAATTCAAGCTAAGCACTTTATCGACTTTCTCCTAGAGGTTTAAGAATAACAAGTGAAAAAAGACAGATGAACCTGATAAACAAGCGTCCAAAAATCGTAGACACTGGTCAAAGTGGGACCCTCACATGCGATAAATCCGGAGCCTCCATTCGGACAAGGGATCTTCTGAGCATTAACCTAAACAGGCAAGAACATTTGCAATGATATAAGCCAAGCAATGAACAAACCTTTAACGTTTTCGTCTCTCCGCCGACAATGTTCCAAGCGATGTACGGGTTTTTCTTCTTGTTTTCTTCCATCCACGGGTTCTCCTAAAACAATATATAAACAGGTAGTAATTACGAACTGACACCAATTGCTTTTAAATTGAACTTTAATGTCCACACGTTTTCTTGTTTAATAACAGTGAGTTTTAAATAAAGCGTAGACATTTGATGAGCTAAAAGTAACCAACCGAATCGTTGAGCGCCTCGAATTCGGCTCGAAATCCATCGTAGGGACACGGCACCGAGAAATGCGTTAGAAACCATCGATCTAACTAAAAATACAAAAATTGCATAAATAAACAAAATTACTGATTAACAAAACTCGAAGAAAATGAAAAGATTTCTTTTTCTAAACTAGTTTTATCTCTGGCAATTCTTTTCCAACTTGCCATAAAATCAAAGTCATACCTTGAGATCTGTGCCCTTTTTCTTAGCATTGACCGCCGATGCTGTCTTCTCTTTTTTTGTCGCTGTCTGAAAACAATCATTCCTAAGAAAAACGCAAGAAAAGAAAGCAAAAAATAAAATCCAAATGTATACCGATGAATTTTGTGGAGTCGTGTGCTTGATTTTTGTCATGGAGCGATCAAATAGGAGAAATGAGAAGAATAGAAAAATCTTCAGAGGCAAAGACGAAAGACAAATTAAATGGAAATTTTACGACAAAACGACAAACCGATTGATTTTAAAATGTAAATTTAGCTATGCGAAATGTTGGCCGAGGGAGCAACGAGATATTGGCATGATGAACATCAAGTTCCATGGTTGATCTATCAAGGGCAATGGTGGAGCTACGACGACGTGCAATCGGTGAAGATTAAGGTTAGTTGAATGGTAAAAATTTGCAAAATTGGACGCTTTATTGAAATTTGGATTACTAACTGAACAAAACACTGTCAAAAACTATTTTTTTCAATTTTAAACTCAACAAAGGTTGTTATTGACATTGAATGAACTGGCAAGTTGAATGGCAATTGGGTGAAGTGGCTATTTCAGTGAAACTTTTCCCCCGAAAAACAGGCGAGATGGCCGAGCGGTCTAAGGCGCCAGTTTAAGGCACTGGTCTCTTCGGAGGCGTGGGTTCGAATCCCACTCTCGTCAGAAACTTTTTCTTTTTCAAAGAAAACAAGAAACTAAAGTGGTTTACTCTAACAGACGGACTACATCAAAAAGAACGACTTTGGCGGAGCGATGGTTTGGGCTTTGGATTTGGATGATTTCAACGGGAAATGTTCAAATGGTGGGGGAAAACTGTATCCAATTATTGGCACAATTGCTAAGGAGTTGGCTGGAATTGATATTTAAGCAATTTCCCCGCCAATGACCATTTAAAAGTGTTTAAACGTACGCTGATTTGTTTTTTTCATGTTCTTCACAATCTATTGAGAAAATTTTATGCATGTAGAACTCTAATAAATATGTGAATCATAAAACAACAAAAAAAAACTTCTATGAAAACAAATTATTCCTTAAATGTATGGCAATTGGTCGAAGATTGTTGGCTAAATCGTGGGTTTGCTTTAGAGCCAATTCTCGATGAACAAATCCATCATAAAGAGTTCTCAACACAAAGATCGGATCACTTTTCTTTGCTTTAATTCTTCCGAAAAGACTTTGTCGACTATTAAGAGAATCCTCGTAGATTTGAATCTAAAAAAGAAAAAAAAACATTTCATTATAGGTTATTGTATTTTACTAGTACTGAAACTTAACCTATGATTCAATCAGTTATGTTTCAAGCAACTTGTAATATTCTCAAAGTTATTGATAAGTTTCTTCTCTCACCTGCACTCCATAATACTTTTGCCCATTCAATTCAAATGAGGCACTCAAAGTCGATGAATTGTCTGAGAAGACAGCGAATGGATCGCTCAATTTTTCTAGAATTTTACCTAACTTGACTGATTAGCTAGAGTACCTGGCATATAGGGCAAACTCATTCCAGTCTGATTATCCACTAATTCATATCCCAACATGTCAAATCGCCAAGTGGCCGGCTTCAAGTGTTCTCTCATTTCATTAAAACGATCCTCGTGACCGATTTTCAGCTTGTGAATTGCCATCAGATGGGTTCTCTAGAATGAACCTGATGATAAGAAAATAATGATTTACTAAAAGCTAATGGTACAAGCCTATAGACTGTACTTATTGTTAGTATTGTACACTACACTACACACCAACTAACAAAAATCTAAGCCCAATAGGTAGTTTAAAATTGCACTAAAGGATTCTGTTCACTCTTTCCTTACATGAGTTCGTTTGCAGCCCCTTCGAAGACGCTTCTATGAACGATTTTCAATCAAAATAAGTTAGAAAAATTTGCGTTAAAAATTACCGTAAGACTCCTTGCCACAATGGCATGAGCTGTTGGTAGTCGCTCTGAAATCGCGTCCGCCTGTGCACTGCTACACAACTCTTGGACAAGACTCAAGATTTGGCGTCTCAAATATCGGATGATCGTCTCAAGCTTTGGTGGTAGAAGCTGAAAGAGCTTATCATTGCGTAGTTTCCTATGGCGAGATGGCCGAGCGGTCTAAGGCGCCAGTTTAAGGCACTGGTCTCTTCGGAGGCGTGGGTTCGAATCCCACTCTCGTCAGAAACTTTTTGCTTTTCCTAGAAATTCTTAAAACAAGAAACAAATGTGATCAAAAATCTACTTTTTCCTTTCCACAGCATGTCTCCATCGAAGTGCTCATCGAAAGAATCGAAAAGGCGGACTTAATCGATAAAAGACTTAAACTTCTTGATCTCGATCCACTAGTGGATGTGTTTTGATTCGCTTCATTCGATAAATTTCTGATCTCATTCAGAATCCGTTCCCAAACAACCTGAATTGGATTTTCTTAGCTTTTTGAAAAGAAATCTACTTCAATGAAATCAGCAGTTTTCGGAGGATTTCTCAGGAATGCAGTCGGCGTTCGACAATGAGATCTCGCCGTTGTACTTCTCAGCGCCGTGCACAACTTCTTCACCATAATACAAGTCTACAAAATTCTTCGTTTTTTATCTCTAAAAGCTTATTTACTTTCAAAGTATCCGAATTCTCATAGATCAAATTGTCGAGCTGATCAAGCACTTCGGCGCCCATTCTGATCAAAGCACAACCGGAGACTAAATTTTTGAATAGAAAAAAGAACCTTTTTGAACTTTATTTCAAAATTGCTAACTTACCCGCACAAACGAAAACGATTTCGAGCTCATCCATGAGTTTATATCTCATCACATCTGCATAAAATGGCGTCTCGGAGTTCTTCGAGCGAAGCCATAGCTGAATTGATCTTGCAAAATTTCTTCTTCCGTTATTTACCTGGTTCACTTGAGTATTTGCAGTGATTGGATGTAGTTTGAAAAACCTCTTCAACGAATTGATATCAGTTGTATCGAAATGTTTCCAAATTTTCTTCTCATCTGACGTCGAGTTCACCGAGCAGAGAAGCTCTCCATGGGAAACGAGAAGGCAGCTGAATCGGGAAATCCCATCACTGAAAATTTTGGTACTTTAGCCAGGGTAAGCAGAAGCAAAAGAAAAAGCTATGTCAAAAGCTGAATAAAATTGCAAGCAAAGCGAGACTAGCTAGAAGCACAAAAGGTTGTTAAAATTACCGATTGGCGCCTAGAGTCTCCGAGATTCGTTCACTCAACGTTTTCAGCATTGGGATCATCTTTTGAGTGTCTTTTGAGTAGTAAGCGGCTGCTCGATAGCCATTTGTATCTGAAAGAATTTAGAGTTTAACAGATTAAGCTCAAATTGATCAGCTCTAGAGAGCAAATCCGCAATTGAATAAGTTAATTGCAAGATTGGTAACGGAAGCTGTTCGCTTTTTCAGATATTTAGCAAGTTTAGAGTTAAACAAATCGATAAATTGAATAAGTTAAGATTGGTAATAAAGATTTGCTGTTTTCATGATCAATCAACCTAGTTATGAGTTTGTTTTATCTATTTGTTCCACTCTAAACAAGTTATCATTTTTGAAACTCAAACAAATTAACTACAACAAATTCAGCACAACTTCGTCGTTATTATTACTATTGGGTTGTCCAGTTATGAATGCGCGCTTTTACTATTTTGTAAATTTCTCAAGATTTCGAACAGATGTATATGGGTGTTATATATCATTCGTAAGCTGAAGATCCCCTCTACATTTTGGAATAAAAAAGTTTTTGAATTCATTCAACTTTTTGGGAAATTGACTGCACAAAGGGAGAGGTCGCTTTCGAAAAAAACCCATTCCAGCTTAGCTATTCCTCAAGTTTTATGGTGTAAAATAACCGCCCAGAAAAGAACAGAAAAGTAAAGATGCTCTGAAATTGTTATATTTAAAAAAAAGTTGTATTGATATATCTATTGATCAGGATCAAACGGTTAACTCAATTTGAGCGGAGCCAAAACTTGATTCATTTTTTGGCCACCTCTTCTTTTGTGCAGTCAATTTGCCCAAAAGCTGAACAAATTCAAAAGCTTTTTATATCAAAATGTAGAGGAGATCTTCAGCTTTCGAATAATACTCGTATATATCTTTTTCTTGATTTCGGTATCTTGAGAAATTTACAAAATAGTAAAAAACGCGCATTCATAACTGGACAACCCAATATTTACTATGAACTTTTGTAAATTGAGCTCTTGAATCTGGTTTCAAATTTTAAAACTTAACTATAAACTTTTATTGATTCAATCAACTATGGACTTTGTGCTCTTATCATTTCTCATCACTTTTGACTAGATTATTGTCCATAACTATAGCTGGATTCATATTTTGAACACCTTTACTTTACTCCAATCTTATCCCAACTCCGCAATCATTACCTCTTTTAATCGGCAAATGTCTGGTCACATGATCGAGTGTAATCCCCAATTGAGTGATGGCCGTATCATAGACAGATAAGTCGGCATCGAGTGATTCCAAAAGGGGTCCAAAGTGTAGTTTGAGAGCTTCAGAGGAGACTCGCAACCAATCACGAGCCACCGTTTCATCACTAAACGTTTTGAGTTGTGATTTAAGCTGTGGCTTATTTTCGAGTTGATCTTTGATGACAACTATTTGCTTTCAAAGCTATCGAGATATTTCAGATTTAGGAAAAACTTGTAAAATGTAACTTAATTCATGCACGAGACTCTGCAAATCCCTCTAAAATCTTGTTCATCTTATCACTCTTTCAAATCCTTTTGCAAAACTTGTTTTGCTATATTCAAAGCGCTCAAAAACAAACCCTTCCGTGATCACAATCAGCAGAAAATCACAGCTGAGACTCTCAAAAAGAATGGTTGATCCATCAGAATTTAAAGATTTATATGAGTCCTTTAATGATTCAGCTGTTCGAAATATTGAAATAATCGGCAAGAAGTGATAGGTGATCTCGCTGAAAAGGATGATAATTTGAATTTGAAGCGTTTCGATAGAATTTTGAAATTCAGCCGAAAAAGTTGTAGATCAAGTTGGTATTTGTGATTCTCATCATCGAAATACCAACTTTTCATTAGATTTAGAAGTATTCAAACCTCAAAACGGTGATGCTTTGACAAAATTTCCTCGAACAATGAAGAGATTTTGAAGCTGGTGAGCTAGGATTTGAGGTTGATGGTTTATCTTCAGTGAAAATTCCTGACGATGAGTCGGAAAAGACTCCAGAAGAAGTGGAAGCGGTGTCACTATGTGAACAAAGCTCCTAAAACTTTTTTTTTGATTCAACAATTTTCGTTTAAATCGTCTCTTTATATTAAAATCTAATAGCTAAGTGTAATTTTAAAATTTTTAGATTTATAATTGAATTTGTAATTTCAATTCACAGTTTCCTTTTTAAGTAGCCTTTTTTTTCTTGTCTTCTTCAGATGAAGCTGCAAATTTCCAGACAAAAATGTCATTCTTATGTGAATCAAATTCTTTCTTTGCTAACATTTTCTTGATAATTGTAGTTCTTGTCATCTTGATAGTAGTTCTCATAACTCACCCGTTTCAATAATCCCTTCAAATGACTTCTAAATCGATTGTCCCCCTCCACCAAAATCACTTGATTTTTGTTGTTGACGAGTAAAAGGCCACGCATTTTAGTGAATTATTTCGATAAAATCTATCAAAATATTAATTTGATTTCATAAAACATCAGTAAAGAGAATAAAGAAGAAATTAAAAAGAAAAACTGAGATTTATCGTTCAGAGAAAGTATTTTTGCGGCTGAAATAAAGCTGGCGAATGCAAAATAAAGGTTTAAGTAAGGCCTAAGAACTGTAAAAGCAGAATAGAGTCAAAAAATAAAAATAAACTCCAACTACCAATTGCTTTGAACCAATTGAAAAGCAGGATTTAGCAAAACTTTCATCTTATAACCTATAAGTTATTGAATCCAGTATAAATCATAAACCCAGAAGCCAGATTGAAGTTATTGAATCCAGTTATTGAAAAGCCAGTTATTGAATTCAGTATAAATCACACCCAGAAGCAATTGAAAGGTAGCGGATAAAGAAACCGGTTTATCACGAGAGAAATCAGAAGAGGAAGTAAATTAAGTAAAAAATGTTGAGGAGACCGTCAAAGGAAGCTGCCAAGGGGGCAAGGGGAAAGGACGAAAGCACAAGGCACAAATTGATAAGAAATCGAATAATCGAGATAGGAGAGAAATGAAAAGAAGAGAGGGACACCGAGACTCCCCACGTCTATCAATCCAGTAGACTCACAACAATATAAACTTTTCTATGCTCTCGGATTCGAATTTCAATAGAATCAGTGTACTTCTGGTTATGACCACTGAAATCAAGAGTTTGAAACATTTGACAAGAAGTGTTTTTGATCTGTTTGTTCTTAAGTCTTTGATTCGAATCCCAGCAGAATCATTGCACTTTTGAACCATTGAAATCAAGAATTTAAAACATTTCAGAAAGTTTTGATTAACTTGAGCTTTAGCTTGACCTTTTTTTGGCTCAAATACTTATCCTACTGATCTCTTATCTCTGATGTCATCAAAATATGAGTCTGAAGTATTGCATTTGACCGCCGGAAGTGATTCTGATAAAGGCTAATATCAAATTTAGATTCGAAACTAAAAATAAACCACAAAGTGAACAAAGAAAGTTTTTGAGAACGGGAATTGGGAAGACAAAAGACAATTTACGACTTTCATTGTGCAAAAAAGACTATGGTAAAACAAAAAAACTTCTTTATTTTGCTAGAATTTTACTATTTTACTATAACTGCACAAATTTTGTTCAAATCTACAGCTGAATATCTTCTTTTTGTGCCATCTACAAAGCAACAGAAAAATCCCTATGTAAATGATTGGCAAAGTGTCCTTTGTGGGGCCGCGTAATCGTTTGCAACCTGGGAAACAAGTTTGGTATAAAGTGGCTCCCTTTTGGAATCCGAAAGGAGCGGTGAGCGACTAAGCTTTCCTGCTTTTTTAGGCTTGACAATGCCCAAATTCTTGGAATCAATTTTTGCCCCAACTTTGGCTTTATTTTTGCTTTAAATTTTACATCCCGTTAAGCCAAAACGCAAGACGCTCAAGATCAGAATCGATTCCAGTGTGACTTGGATCCCTTCCGTAAATTTACCGACAATATGCCCCAATTCCCAACACATCGCCGTCAAAGCCAGCTCGCTGTTGCCCTTCGCGCGCACGATGGCCAAATCACTGAAGAGGAAATTTTTTTATGATTTGACTCAATGATAAATTCTTTTCACTACTGTTTACACAATCTCTGTGCAAAAAGTAGCTCTTTTGAAGGCTTAGCTTTTAGAAAATAGAATAAAAACTGACAATAGGACAGCTTTGTGGAGATAGAAAATATAAATGGATTGTGCAGAAAGCTCTTTTTTGTGAAATCTTATTTGATGCTTTGATTTTGAATATCTCTGATTCTTTTTTCCTTCCTCTAAAGATCGTTTGTGTGATAAACAGGGACGGAGCTCACTTTGTACTCTTTCTCGTTTGACACACTGAACCGTTTGACACAATGAGCCAACGATTGATTAGATTTTATTGTATTTTCTCGCTAGATTAGTGATTGGGCTATATTTGGAATAAATATCCAAATAATCATTGCCCATCGTCAGATAAAGACTAGTTCTTGTAAATTCAGTGTAAATACCCTCTCACGCACTGCACATGGATTGCTGGAACAGTTTCTTTATCATTCCACCAGTTCGATCCTTTATTCCATTCTTAAGCACTGGAATAAATGCTGTGAATGAATTGGACACGCCGGGTTGAGGCTAGGAATCGAAAACATGATCGGTGCCGGGATTCGAACCTGCGACCTCTCGCTTACACTCTACCAATGAGCTCTACCAATGAGCTCTACCAATGAGCTCTACCAATGAGCTACACCAATCCCGTTGCCGTCAGGATAGGGTCTTATGTCTTACTAATGAATAGATGAATAAGTAGCTCAATGAGTGACCCCTGACCCGGCATCTGACGAGATCGAAACGTGAATGGGAAAAAGGAAAAGAGCAGCACCTTGCACCCTTCTCCATCCTTCTCCCTTCTGGGGGACACTTTCCTATTCTTTTTCTATATTTATGGGTCAAAGAGGACCCTGCTTTCGGCATTGTTTTTTTTTTGAGTTGTTGAAAATCAGAACCAAGTCCAAACCGATCCCATCCGACACACGATAATTGCAAGTCCTATTTTGAGTTTCCTCTTCAACGCGACCGTGGGCCTCTCGGTGGTCATCATCATCCTTTGCATGGCTTCTCTTCTTCTCATCACTGGCCTCTATTTCTTAGATCTACAATCAAATATCGCAGAATTTCATCTAGTTTCTAAAAACCAAAACCGCTAGCAAAAAATGTTAAAGCTAAAAGAGTTATTCCCCAAGATTGTAAAATAAGAGGTAAATTTAGCGAATTTCGCCAGATCTAGCAGATCGTGGACCTGAGCCCAGGCCTGATCCTGATATTGAAAGAATTCACTCTGAGAAAGCTTATTGTTCACCAGTACTTATTGTTCACAAGGCCTAACCTTGACTCAAAAAGATTGACTCTAGAAGCGACTAAGAAAGTTTGCAAAAAAAACAAAAGGTTGGCGGCACGCGGATTCGTATCAGGGTCCAAGGAGAGCCAACTGCCGGCGCACTATCCACTACACCCCTCGCACGAAGGCACACAATCACTTTCTCAAAGTGTTTTGTTTGTTTTTCAAAAAAAAATGTTCAACACCTCGAAACTATAATAAAAATCAGAGCACAAACGAATTTTTGGGGGTTCTCGAAGTTGAGGCAAAGATTTATGGTGTGAACTCTGTTCTGAAAACAAAATGTGACTTGTTGCTGTGTTGCATATTTATTGCTTTCCTTTATGGTTTGAAGCTCAAAAGCACTTGTCCCGTCTGATAGATGTAATGAGCAAACGCGAGCTCTTTTTCTTCATCGTCACCAATTTCACAGGAACATTCCTTTGGATTGCCACTGACGCTGAAATTGACGAGAATTTGGATCTCAATGAGGTGGATTATATGGTTTCCGTTTCAGTTGAATTTGAATTAGAAAAACTTGCTTAAGTTTTGTCCATACAAAGTGTGATCAGTAAGTCTGATCCAGTTTCAAAGTTTATTTGGAGTGGTTTTTTTGTTGAACCTTGATACAGATCAGACTCACAGACAGTGGCCCGCAGAAGTACTGTCCTCTGCCCCTACAAAAAATATTCGTGAAAAATTCTTGACACTTTGAATATCTATGAGTATCTAGTTTATAAACAAAAACAGTTTCTTTATGTACAGGTAACAATTGAAAAAACTAGAACAAAAAGTTGAACAAAAATATGAGAAAATAGCCTCCGCAAAAGTCATGTCTTAACAACAAAAAACAACATAAAAAGTAAATCAGAGCGTTGTTAAGCCCCTTCTTGCTTTCACCACTTCTTGAACTCTCATCGGCATCACATTCACGACATTCTCCAAAAGATTTTTCGGAATCATCAACAAGAGACTTTGAATGTGAATCCCAAGGGCCGCTTTTAAGTCGAACTTCTTTCTCGTAGGCTGAGACTTCACAAAAGACCACAAATGCTCGATCGGGTTTAAATCCGGCAAATAGGGAGGTGGATTGATCAATTTGACTCGATTGGCCGCAAACCATCCGGGTAAACGAGCCCGTTCCGTAGATTGACCACTATACTCATCATGAGCCTCCTTTTGTGTTTCTGGTCATTGTCTTGGTGAAGCATCCATGGGGGAGACATCGGTTGTGTGGCAAAAGGAAGCATATGAGTCTCCTTCGGACAATACTTTTGTGGAGCCGATTCTCGACCTGCTGTCGGTCTTTTGAACACAAGTTTGTTTAGGATAAAGATGGCTTTGTCAAACTTTGGCACAAGAAACTAGAAGCATTTTGGGGTTTTGCTAACATATTGCTCTTGAATTTATGCCAAAATTCTTTGGAGAAAACTTTTCTGAGGTCATAGAACAATATTTATGAACAATATCTGTTCTAGACGGTAACGTAACGAAAACATCTGTTGGTCCTTTTTTGTACTTGGCAATTTGAAGTTTTTTGTTTTTTCCTCAGGACCAACCCTTCGATTATGACTAATTTAACGATGATTCGATGCAGGCAAAAATGCCGCTTCAAATGATACCAAAATTCACTCAAAATCCAATATCCATGGAAAGTTATGAGGCGAAAGATTCAGTCCCGTCCATAATTGGCGGCATTTAGACTTTTAGCCAACAATTTTGCGTGGACGTTGCATTTTGAGTGAATTTTGGTCTGATTCGACGTGCAATTTCATCCTCAACCGAATGATAGTCGAAATGGAAGGGCTGGTGCTGAGAAAGGGATGAACAATCTAAAATTGCCAACGGTAAAAAGGATAGGCAGATGTTTCCGTTATACAGGGTGACCAGAAATAACGTTGCGGGATTTTCGGCAGCCTAAAATCCGCAAAGTTTCAATTTTGGGAGACGAATTTATTTTTAACTGATTCTCTTTGATTGTTTTTATTAGTTTCTTTGTTGTTTTACTTTGTTCCAAGTCTATTCATTTTTTTAGAGGATGACAAACAAGGGATCTGCTATTCTGGAGCTTCATCGTCAAGGTCAATGCGTGAGTGTGATCGCGCGATTGCTATTTGTTTCTCATCAGCTGGTCTCAAAAGCGATTAAGCGATACAAGGAGCTTGGCAACGATGGAGATCGTCCAGGAAGAGGCAGAAAAAGAACAGTCAACACCTCCAGAAATCGCAAAGTGATTCAAAAACGCGTGGCCCGGAATCCACAGGTCTCAATGAGAAAGATCGCTCGACAGACCGGGATCGCTCGCGAATCGGTTCGACTTATGGCCAAAAATGACCTCAATCTTCATCCTTACAAGCTCAAGCAAGGACAACAACTCGACAACGACAATAAACGAGTTCGACTCGAAAGATGTCGAGAGCTTCTCAAACGGGCCGCAACTCCACACTGGGAGCAAATCCTGTTTTCTGACGAGAAGCTCTTCTCGGTGGAGCAAAGCTACAACCACCAAAGCGATCGGATTTGGTCAACGTCCTCTCCAGGCAGCTCTGCGATTGTTCAACACCGACAAAATCCCAAAATGGTCATGGTATGGGCCGGAATCTGCGCAACCGGCAAAACTCCTCTCATTCTCATCGATTCTGGGGTAAAAATCAATAAGGATGTGTACCAAAAAAAGATTCTTGAGGATGTTTTGCTTCCATGGGCTCAACAGCATTTTGGTAACGGCTTTTGGACCTTCCAACAAGACTCCGCTCCTTCTCATCGAGCCAAATCCACACAGGACTGGTGTAGGACAAACTTTCCGGATTTCATCTCGGCCCAGGAATGACCTCCGTATTCGCGCGATCTCAATCCGTTGGACTACAGTGTTTGGTCAATTTTGGAGGCAAAGGCTTGTGCAAAACCGCACAAAAGTTTGGAGGCTCTTAAGCAATCGTTGACCAGGGAATGGGATCGAATCACTCCGGCCGAGCTGCGACCCATCCCGGAAAATTTCATCAAGCGTTTGAGGCTCTGCATCGGAGCCAAAGGTGGCCACTTGGAAGAAAAGTAGATTTTATGCTTTCTTTATGTCATGTTGTTAATAAGAAGTTGTTTCTGTTACAAAATCTTTTTGGATTTTTAAAAAATAGCCAAAATTAGGCCGCAACGTTATTTCTGGTCACCCTTTAAGTCCAGTGTGTTCATTGCAGTTAATGAACAAGTGGGTAATTATGTCTTCTGATTTTCATCTAAACCTATTATCCCATTCGCCGAGAAATTAAACTGTGTGAATATGGTAATTTGAAAACATCAAGAAAACAAACATGTTCCAATACACATATTGACATTCCTTGCGCGTACACCTGCCAATTTGCCAACCGAACCAAATAATCTCGCCAAATATGGTTCCCTTCTTGAAACGTTCAGCCTAAAGAAAAGTGTCTTTTTTCGATAGAATGAAGAATTACGCATTCTGGAATCACATCACTATCGCTTGATGTCTTGTTGTAGAAAGTCAGAATCTTTGGGCGAAGTCGACAAAAAGATGGCCAGTTCGTGTTTCGAGGGCTGAGCCGTTCAGTTTGCACTCACAAGATTCTTTCTCCGATGAATCTCTAAATGAATCTCAAATCTCTAAATGAAGACAAATTTTCTAGAAAGCCCTGCCAGATACCTGTTTCACTGACCAGAAAACAGTTTTATGTAGTGATTTCACTTGTTTCAAACATACTCAAAAACATACAGACAGATCCCTTCACATAAATCGCTTTTAAGAATCTCCCAAGTGCTGTCAAGGAGTTCGACAAGTGAAACATTCATGCAGTGACCCTTTGCGCAGTTGTCTACCTGAACGGGCTTTTGACAGTGCACAATTTACAGGTGCAATTTCCTTTTTTTGATTTGCATTTCAAAACTGAGGCATACTTGCTCTTCAAAATCTTCATCTGATGTTATCACAACATTTCGTTCGAGAAGAACAACTGTCAAGATAAGCACACCTCTCAACGGATGCATCCCTTAATTTCATATTTCCAAACGGGAAATAAAAAAAAGCGATACGATTATTTTTGGTCACATTATATGAAAAGAAATGCTAGAGCGGCTAACAAATGACATTCATTAGTCAAGTTTTATGTTTTTTTTTGTCATATGAGCATCTAAACGATAAGTTCAGTTTATAAAAGGAATCAAAAATTAAAATTGAGCCCATTATCAGAAAATTTCCTATGAAAAATTCAAAGAAAAAAGGATTATTTTTTTGTTGTTTAGTCTATCGCATCGGTTTCTCTCATTTCTCATCAGAAACAAATGAAATATTAGTCATTTGATCAAAATTTTAAAAACAAGCTCGCTTATTTTTAAAGGAATGACTTTAAATTAGTTACTCTTGTAGCATGATGAAAAAAGATCAAAAAGTCCCATGGATATGCCATTGAAAAGATACAGCATATTTATTTATCCTCAAATCGATCAATCCATCAATCCGCCCAGAGTTCAATAACTTTCCAACAAGCTTGGTAACAACATTTCCCTTTGGCCTTTTCAGGACAGAAACTTTGCACACGGCAAATTCTGCGGGTCCTGCTTTGCATGCGCAGTCGTTTGCTTGAATTAGGGTGTTTTGCACTTCGAGAATGGTGGTTGCTATTTTTGTAGCAATTTTACAGAAGTCGATCCGTTGATAAACTTTGGTAATCCTGTTTCCATTGAGTTCAAAAGTGTCGGTGCAGTTTGGGGGCTCTGAATCCCATGTGCACGTCTGAAATTCTAGTTAATGCTTTTTTGACCAACTAGCTTACCTGAATTCCCGAAGAATAAAATCCTTTGGTGTGAATCTCCTGGTTTGAGAATGCCCTAAATAGAATTGAAAGTCACAAAAGAAATATTTTGGGCAACCTTTTTCCCACCCCCATTTTTCTCTGACAATGGGTATGGTCTTTCAACGCACTAATAATGACTAATAATGACGCAATGACTTTTTACTTTCTAAGAGTGTCATCCGAAGCGGTTTTCCATGTAGAGATCATTGTTAGAACGAATTGCAGAATGCTCCAAAGTGGGATCGGGGTGAAGCTGAGGCAACAAGTACAGAAACCTCCTTGACAAATACAGTTCCCGTCATGGTTCACCAGTTGAGTGAACCCTTGAACAGTCGTAAGAATCTTGACCATAATTTTCTCAAAATTGACGAGTTTTTTTGCTTCGCAAGACAGAGACTAAAAATTGATATATTCGTTTGATCTTTTTAGATTATTTAGCTCAAAAGAGCTAATTTGAAAAAGTTGCCCGAGAAAATGAAATGAAGACAAACGTTGTTGGGTTGAATCGCGTTTACTTAACTCCGCTTTGATTCTCAGGGAACTGATTTCGTTATTGAACTTACCTCTCCCACACGACATAACCCGGGTAGGTTGTATTCTTCTGACTGGAAGAGCTGCTCGTGAAAAGGTGACACGCCGATCTTTTGTCCGAAAAGAATGCTTATCGAAATCAAAAGCCATTTGTGAAGAATCATTTTTTACCAAAGTGGATATTTTCTCATGTATATTTACAGTGGTCCACAAAGGTTTGTTACCCACAAAGATTACCCAGCCGGGTTTGTTATAAGGGAGAGGTAAGTCCAGAGATTTACGGGCAGCCCTTCTTGCATATCATCCAGCTTGATTTAATCGTCATCTGATCGTTTCCCGTGATACAACCCTGTTAAATTGATCCCTCATCATTTGGCTTCCATCGGTTGGTGTCTTGTTAGGATCGTTTTTCACTATTTGGATCACGGCTCGATCTTCTTTCTTGGTTGTGATTGGTCGCAGAAAATGCCTTGTGCAAAGTTTGTGTCGAGAAAGGGCCACAGGGAGATGTTGTTACCAAGCTTGTTGGAAAGCTTATTGAACTCTGGGCGGATTGATGGATTGATCGATTTGAGAATAAATAAATTTGCTGTATCTTTTTCAATGGCATATCCATGGGACTTTTTGGCATATCCATGGGATCTTTTTTCATCATGCTACAAGAGTAACTAATTTAATTTCATTCCTTTAAAAATAAGCGAGCTTATTTTTAAAATTTTGATCAAATGACTAATATTTCAATTTGTTTCTGATGAGAAATGAGAGAAACCGATGCGATAGACTCAACAACAAAAAAATAATCCTTTTTCCTTTGAATGTTTCATAGGAAATTTTCTGATCATGGGCTCATCTTAATTTTTGATTCCTTTTATAAACTGAACTTTTCATATAATGTGACCAAAAATAATCGTATCGCTTTTTTTATTTCCCGTTTGTTCATGGAAATATGAAATTAAGGGATGCATCCGTTGAGATGTGTGCTTATCTTGACAGTTGTTCTTCTCGAACGAAATGTTGTGATAACATCAGATGTATGCCTCAGTTTTGAAATGCAAATGAAAAAAGAAATTGCACCTGTAAATTGTGCACTGTCAAAAGCCGCGTTCAGGTAGACAACTGCCCAAAGGGTCAATGCATGAATGTTTCACTTCTCGAACTCTTTGACAGCACTTGGGAGATTCTTGAAAGCGATTTATGTGAAGGAATCTGCGCGTGTACATTCTGCCACTCAGAGTATGTTTGAAACAAGTGAAATCACTACATAAAACTGTTTTCTGATCAGTGAAACAGGTGTCTGGCAGCGCTTTTTATAAAATTTGTCTTCATTTAGAGATTTGAGATTCATTTAGAGATTCATTGGAGAAAGACCCTTGTGAGTGCAAACTGAACGGCTCAGCCCTCGAAACACGAACTGGCCATCTTTTTGTCGACTTCGCCCAAAAAATCTTTGATTTCTACAACAAGACATCAAGCGATAGTGATGTGATTCCAGAATGCGTAATTCTTCATTCTATCGAAAAAGACACTTTTCTTTAGGCTGAACGTTTCAAGAAGGGAGCCATATTTGGGGAGATTCTTTGGTTCGGTTGGCAAATTGGCAGGTGTACGCGCACGGCATGTCAAGCTATGTTTTGGAACATGTTTGTTTCCTTGATGTTTTCAAATTACTATATTCACACAGTTTAATTCATCGGCGAATGAGATAATAGATTTAGATGAAAATCAGAAGACATAATTATCCACTTGTTCATTAATTGCAATGAACACACTGGATTTATAACGAAAACATCTGCCTCTCCTTTTTGCCGTTGGCAATTTTAGATTGTTCGTCTCTTTCTCAGCACCTGCGCATAAACCTTTGAAAAAATTGAATGTCGTGAATGTGATGCCGACGAGAGTTCAAGAAGTGGTGAAAGCAAGGGGATATTTTTTGTAGGGGCAGAGGACAGTACTTCTGCGGGCACTGTATCTGAGTCTGATCTGGAAAAAGGTTCAACAAAAAAATTACTCCAAATGAACTTTGAAACTGGATCAGACTTACTGATCACACTTTGTATGGACAAAACCTAAGCAAATTTTTCAAATTCAACTGAAACGGAAACCATATAATCCACCTCATTGAGATCCAAATTCTCGTCAATTTCAGCATGTTTGGCAATGGAAAGGAATGTTCCTGTGAAATTGGTGGCGATGAAGAAAAAGAACTCGCGTTTGCTCATTACATCTATCAGACTGGACAAGTGCTTTTGAGCTTCAAACCATAAAGCAAAGCGATAAATATGCAACACAGCAACAAGTCACATTTTGTTTTCAGAACAGAGTTCACACCATAAATCTTTGCCTCAACTTCGAGAACCCCCAAAAATTCGTTTGTGCTCTGATTTTTCTTATAGTTTCGAGGTGTTGAACATTTTTTTTGAAAAACAAACAAAACACTTTGAGAAAGTGATTGTGTGCCTTCGTGCGAGTAGTGGATAGTGCGCCGGCAGTTGGCTCTCCTTGGACCCTGATACGAATCCGCGTGCCGCCGAACCTTTTGTTTTCTTTTTCTAACTTTCTTGGTCGCTTCTAGAGTCAATCTTTTTGAGTCAAAGTTAGGCCTTGCTTTTACTGGTGAACAATAGGCTTTTTCAGAGTGAATTCTTTCAATATCAGGATCAGACCTGGGCTCAGGTCCACGATCTGCTAAATCTGGCGAAATTCGCTAAATTTACCTCTCATTTTACAAGCTTGGGGGAATAACTCTTTCAGCTTTAACATTTTTTGCTAGCGGTTTTGGTTCTTAGAAACTAGATGAAATTCTGCAATATTTGATAGTATATCTAAGAAATAGAGGCCAGTGATGAGAAGAAGAGAAGCCTTGCAAAGGATGATGATGACCACCGAGAGGCCCACGGTCGCGTTGAAGAGGAAACTCGAAATAGGTCTTGCAATTATCGTGTGTCGGATGGGATCGGTTTGGACTTGGTTCTGATTTTCATACATACAATGTATCAATGTATCAATGCTTACAATTCGATTTCAATTACCATGATATAGTATTGAAATAGTGGACTTGAGATGATGAAGAATCGATTGTAAATCGCGATCAGCATGATGACTCGGAGTGGAGGGAAGCATTTGAGAACTTATTTTGGTACTACGCGGGTTGGGGGAGCATTTTTTCTGGAGTATTTTTATGGGTAGATCCCGAAAAACGCAACGAGAGCTTGGAAAAATGCGTTTCAAGCCGAGTTTCAGGTTTTCAAGCCTCTAGAGTGCAATGAGAGGGATCTACATAGGGAAGAGGTCTAAAAATGATCTCTCAAAACATTTTTTGAAGCCAAAAACACTTCTTCTGACATAATCTAACCTACTGATTACGTTTCTGATCAAATTGGAGCAAATTAAAAATTTTGTTCAAATTTCGATCCGTCAAATCGAGTCAAATCGCTCAAAATCTTAATATTTTTTCAATTGTTTTGTTTCTACCGGTCAGTTTAAGTTAAAAAATGAATATTTAATGGAATAAGTGAAATGGAAATGATAAAAAACAATATGTACAAAAATTCTCTTACAAATCACTACAGTAAACATCAAGCAAATCAGGATTCAAATTTAAAGCAAGACCAAAATTGAAACCAGGTGACAAAGACGATTTCCAGTTTTCCATGAAATGAGAAGGCACCCCAACACATCACCGAACCCCCGCCGAAGTTTCGCCTTGAGAACAGTAATGGATCCTGGCGCAAGTCACGCCAATAAGAGTGTCCACCATCAGGCCCATCCAGGTTGAACTTTTTCTCGTCTGTGTAGATGATCAATAAAATTTGTTTTCTAAGTCTAAATACCTGATTCCAGTTAGTTGCCATGTTTGCGCGAGCAAAGAACAACCTGTTCTGTTTGTGGATGACAGTTAAGCGAGGTGCCGGCTTCATCACCTGAGGTGTGAGATGTGGAGAAGAGTTGATGGTTCTCAGAGCAGTCCACTTTGACACTGAAAGTTGCAAATCACGCTTGATTTCATTTGCCGACCCCGTAGAGTTTGAGACTTTGTTTCTGATATGGCGTTCGGCCCGTTTGGAGAGCTTCTTGTGACGACCATGCGCATTTGAAGTACCATATTTGAGTGGAGCTTTGAGGTAACGGTTGATACCGTCTCTTGAGCGATTGATTCGACGACTCATCTCGGAAATTGACAATCCAAGTTGATGCATGAGATCGAGTTGAGCTTGCTCCCCGTTAGAGAGTTGAGTTGCTTTCGGCATTGTTTTTTTCTTAAGGTGAAGTAAGACAAAGTAAGCTCTTTAGGATTATAAGGATTTTGAAGTGAAAGGGCGGGACTTATGTTTGCCAGAGGCAGATTTAGCTTTTTAACTAGAAAAAAGTATGAAATGACACCAAAATTTGGGGGCGGGGGGTGGCGTATGGTTTTGCACCGCACTGTAGAATCGTCCTCTTTAATAGAAAAATAAGTTGATGAAAATCGGAACCAAGTCCAAGCCGATCCCATCCGACACAAGATAATTGCAAGACCTATTTCGAGTTTCCTCTTCAACGCGACCGTGGGCCTCTCGGTGGTCATCATCATCCTTTGCATGGCTTCTCCTCTTCTCATCACTGGCCTCTATTTCTTAGATCTACAATCAAATATCGCAGAATTTCATCTAGTTTCTAAAAACGAAAATCGCTAGCAAAAAATGTGAAAGAGTTATTCCCCCAAGATTGTAAAATGAGAGGTAGATTTAGCGAATTTCGCCAGATCTAGCAGATTGTGGATCTGAGCCCAGGCCTGATCCTGGTATTGAAAGAATTCACTCTGACAAAGCTTATTGTTCACCAGTAAAAGCAAGGCCTAACCTTGACCCTAACGAAGGCACACAATCACTTTCTCAAAGTGTTTTGTTTGTTTTTCAAAAAAACAAAATGAAAACAAAATGTGACTTGTTGCCGTGTTGCATATTTATCGCTTTCCTTTATGGTTTGAAGCTCAAAAGCAATTGTCCAGTCTGATAGATGTAATGAGCAAACGCGAGCTCTTTTTCTTCATCGCCACCAATTTCACAGGAACATTCCTTTGGACCGCGAAACATGCTGAAATTGACGAGAATTTGGATCTCAATGAAGTGGATTATGTGGTTTCCGTTTCAGTTGAGTTAGAAAAACTTGCTTAAGTTTTGTCCATACAACGTGTGATCAGTAAGTCTGATCCAGTTTCAAAGTTCATTTGGAGTAGTTTTTTCGTCGAACCTTGATACAATGGCCCGCAGAAGTACTGTCCTCTGCACCTACAAAAAATACTCGAGAAAAATTCTTTCATAGAAACAATAATTCGATAAAAATTCTTGACATTTTGAATATCTATGAGTATCTAGTTTATAAACCAAAACAGTTTCTTTATGTACAGGTAACAATTGAAAAAACTAGAACAAAAAGTTGAACAAAAATATGAAAATAGCCTTGGCAAAAGTCATCTCTTATCAACAAAAAAACAACATAAAAACTAAATCAGCGCGTTGTTAAGCCTCCCCTTGCTTTCACCACTTCTTGAACTCTCATCGGCATCACATTCACGACATTCTCCAAAAGATTTTTCGGAATCATCGACAAGAGACTTCGAATGTGAATCCAAAGGGCCGCTTTTAAGTCGAACTTCTTTCTCGTAGGCTGAGACTTCACAAAAGACCACAAATGCTCGATCGGGTTTAAATCCGGCAAATAGGGAGGTGGATTGATCAATTTGACTCGATTGGCCGCAAACCATCCGGGTAAACGAGCCCGTTCCGTAGATTCAGCACCGTACTCATCATGAGCATCCTTTTGTGTTTCTGGTCATTGTCTTGGTGAAGCATCCATGGGGCTGACATCCTTTGTGCGGCAAAAGGAAGCATATGACTCTCCATCGTTTGGTCTATGCGGATGAACGGACCTACCGCATTTCGGGACATCGCATTTAGAAAAGAAATTCGAAACTGGTCCCTACCCCAACACATAATGGTTCCTCCATTAAATTTCACTGTCGGGCGAATGTACTTAAGTGAATATCGCTTTTCAATCGGTTGCCGGGTAAGGTGGTTGCCGTCTACGTGAAATAAATGAATCCTTGTCTTATCAGTGAAAAGAACTTTCGCCCAATCATCCCTGATCCGACTTGCCTTGTAGACTTGTAGGTCCTTGAAAACTGGAGGCGCTGTTTTTGATGCTCAATTTTTTTTCAGAGGTTTATGCGCAGCCCTCCTTGTGTACATATCCAGCACGATTCAAGCGTCTTCCGATTGTATCCGTGAAACAATGTTGCCTAAACGATCCGTCACATACTTCTTGCCATCAGTAGCATTCCGATTTGGGTCCTCCTTCACAAAATTCATCACTGCCCGATCTTCCCTCACTGTTGTAATTTTAAGACAAAGGTTCGCCGAACGGTCCGGGTTGAGCACTTAAAGAGTTCGCCCGCCTCCTTCTCCGACAATCCATTTCTTCACATCTCAACAAGCTTCTCTTTATCGGGAGTAGGGAGATTTGACTTCCCAGGCGTCTAAAAAATAAGTTATAACTCCAAAAGTGAACTTTACAAAGCACAAAAACAAAAAATAGCCAAAAAATGTGCATAGGACAATACTTTTGCGGAGCCGATTCTCGACCTGCTGTCGATCTTTTGAGCACAAGTTTGTTTAGGATAAAGATGGCTTTGTCAAACTTTGGCACAAAAAACTAGAAGCATTTTGGGATTTTGCTAACATTATGCTCTTGAATTTACGCTGCATTTTGAGTGAATTTTGGTCTGATTCGACGTGCAATTTCATCCTCAACCGAATGAGAGTCGAAATGGAAGGGCTGGTGCTGAGAAAGGGACGAACAATCTAAAATTGCCAACGGCAAAAAGGATAGGCAGATGTTTCCGGTATACAGGGAAACCAGAAATAACGTTGCGGGATTTTCGGCAGCCTAAAATCCGCAAAGTTTCAATTTTGGGAGACGAATTTAAGTCCAGTGTGTTCATGTTCAATTCATGAACAAGTGGATAATTATGTCTTCTGATTTTCATCTAAATCTATTATCTCATTCGCTGAGAAATTAAACTGTGTGAATATGGTAATTTGAAAACATCAAGAAAACAAACATATTCCAATACATATGTTGACATTCCGTGCGCGTACACCTGCCAATTTGCCAACCGAACCAAATAATCTTCCCCATTATGGTTCCCTTCTTGAAACGTTCAGCCTAAAGAAAAGTGTCCTTTTTCGATAGAATGAAGAATTACGCATTCTGGAATCACATCACTATCGCTTGATGTCTTGTTGTAGAAATCAAAGATTTTTTGGGCGAAGTCGACAAAAAGATGGCCAGTTCGTGTTTCGAGGGCTGAGCCGTTCAGTTTGCACTCACAAGGGTCTTTCTCCAATGAATCTCTAAATGAAGACAAATTTTATAAAAAGCCCTGCCAAACACCTGTTTCGCTAATCAGAAAACAGTTTTATGTAGTGATTTCACTTGTTTCAAACATACTCTAAGTGGCATAATCTACACAGACAGATTCCTTCACATAAATCGCTTTCAAGAATCTCCCAAGTGCTGTCAAGGAGTTCGACAAGTGAAACATTCATGCAGTGACCCTTTGGGCAGTTGTCTACCTGAGCGCGGCTTTTGACAGTGCACAATTTACAGGTGCAATTTCTTTTTTCATTTGCATTTCAAAACTGAGGCATACTTGCTCGTCAAAATCTTCATCTGATGTTATCACAACATTTCGTTCGAGAAGAACAACTGTCAAGATGAGCACACATCTCAACGGATGCATCCCTTAATTTCATATTTCCATGAACAAACGGGAAATAAAAAAAAGCGATACGATTATTTTTGGTCACATTATATGAAAAGAAATGCTAGAGCGGCCAACCAAAGACATTTATTAGTCAAGTTTTAGGTTTTTTTGACATATGAGCATCTAAACGATAGGTTCAGTTTATAAAGGGGATCGAAAATTAAAATTAAGCCCATGATCAGAAAATTTCCTATGAAACATTCAAAGAAAAAAGGATGATTTTTTTGTTCTTGAGTCTATCGCATCGGTTTTTCTCATTTCTCATCAGAAACAAATTGAAATATTAGTCATTTGATCAAAATTTTAAAAATAAGCTCGCTTATTTTTAAATGAATGAATTTAAATTAGTTACTCTTGTAGGATGATGAAAAAAGATCAAAAAGTCCCATGGATATGCCATTGAAAAGATACAGCAAATTTATTTATTCTCAAATCGATCAATCCATCAATCCGCCCAGAGTTCAATAAGCTTTCCAACAAGCTTGGTAAGAACATTTCCCTTTGGCCTTTTCAGGACAGAAACTTTGCACACGGCAAATTCTGCGGGTCCTGCTTTGCATGCGCAGTCGTTCTCTTGAATTAGGGTGTTTTGCACTTCGAAAATGGTGTTTGATATTTTTGTGGCAATTTTACAGAAGTCGATCCGTTGATAAACTTTGGTAGTCACTTTTCCATTGAGTCGAAAAGTTTCGGTGCAATTTGGGGGCTCTGAATCCCATGTGCACGTCTGAGATTCTATTAGGTTGATGCAAAAGTCTTTTTCATTTTTTTCGTACTTCCGTTAAAAAGTAACAAATGCACCAATTGAAAAACGGTTTATTGCATTCGAAAGGTCAAATATTTTTCTGCAAAATGACATTAAAACGAGTTTAAAATGTCTTATGTCTAGATTTTTTTGAGAGCCTGAAGTCGGGTAGTCAAAAAAGGCGACGGCTCGATGATGCATTTTAGACGCTTTAGCTAAGGAAACCAATCTTGATTTTAATAAATAAAAGATAGAGCACAAAAAGTTAGATATTTTTTCAGATTTTCAGAGAAATTGATTCAGCCAATTTCTTTATAGAGGTTTTTATAGATTTTTATGAAAAACCCGTTTTCACTCTCGAATTTGCTTGAAAGTGAACCCAAATTGACTTAAAAAGATGGGAAATTGAACAATAAACACTTTTCATTTAGAGCAAACCATAGGTTAATTGATGACTTTGTTATTTTTCAAAAGAAGTACGAAAAAAATGAAAAAGACTTTTGCATCAACCTAATAGTTAATGCTTTTTTGGCCAACTAGCTTACCTGAATTCCCGAAGAATAAAATCCTTTGGTGTGAATCTCCTGGTTTGAGAATGCCCTAAATCGTATTGAAAGTCATAAAATATGATTTTATGCTTTTTCAGGATGCACCATTTTTGTTCTGTAACAAAAAGCATTCAGCTGGAGTGTTTGGATTATAGGGTGGATGAACTACCGTAGGCTTGGGAAAGTGTATAAAAGGAGTAAATTTAGCAAAAATTTTCATTCTGGTTCAATCGTTAGCAGAGTTTTTAGTTTAGTGGAGTTTAGGGGAGTGGGACAAATGCGACCTTTTTTTTGCGCACCCGGCCATTTGCGCACCTTTTTTTCCGCACCCGGGACATTTCCGCACTTTTTTTTAGCGCACTTAGGACATTTCCGCACTATTTTTTTTGCGCACCCGGGATATTTGCGCACCTTTTTGTCCACTATAACAAGGACTGCCCTACAACCACAGGACCACTTGGCTTCACTTTTTGTTTTTTTTCCTGCTATTGGTCTGTAGCTTTCATTTCTTGATGGTATCGGTTGTTTTCCTGTCTTTTTGATGGTAGTTTTTCAATCCAGAGCATTTTATCAATCAAAATATAACATTTTATTCATTAAAAAAATAACAAATAACATATATTGAAAGGAAAGCTAAAAGCAACAAAGCGAGACAAGTAACAACTAACGTGATGCAATATGAGGCACTAATTGAGACAAGTGTAAAACATGGGCACTATTGTTTCTACCATTTAAAACAGCGTGAAAACGTTGATCTTGGCGAAAAATAACCTTTTTACTCTGAGGATATTGTTGTACCAACGAAAGATTGCGAGTCGTAGCAAGCTTCAAGCGATTAATAGCATTCATCGTTTCCTCATAAAGCCGACACACAATGTAACCAGGATGTGGACTCTTTGGTCCGGACTAAAGATAAATAAAAATTATACCGAAATTACCAACAAACCTTCAATAAAGAATTAAACGCTTCGTGTGTTGCATTACCAAGTTGCTGAGATTGGATAACACGACTGTAAACATTCCACTTATCAACAGGATACGTGGGTGGCCGGCGAAAGCTCCCGTTGACAACTTTTCCAATGTAGTTTTTTGCAAGGAATTTGTAAAATTCTAAAGAAACAGAGTATAAATAAGGCAATAAAGACTAACTTTTAACTGAAGTCATGTTGACTCCGGGTGGCGGTGCATTCTGCGAAGAAACAATCAGGGCGTCAAAGTAATCGGCAACTTCTTGAGGATCAACTAAGGACAAGGCCATTGTTGAGTGCAGATGCATTTTTCCATATGGAGTCTGCAGTTGCGAATTTAGCCCGTATCTCTAAAATTGTTATTTGTAGAAAAAGCTAAGAAAAAAAACCTTTAGATTTCGAAGTATGTTTTGGTAAAAGTGGAAAACACAATATTTATGATGGACAGCACCTCCGTACACTTGTTGGAAGCCTTGATAGATGCCTCTTTCAAAATCTAAAAGAAAATATCGTTAAAACCACATACAAGCTTCAAACCTGTCATCAAGCAATTTGGTGAAGCAATATTCTGTGAAAGAATAAAGCGAAAAACTATCTCGTAACATAAACTCGCTTTTCCGCTCAACAAAGCAAAGACACAGGGAATAAAAAGGATGCCCGATCTAAAAAACAATAACAATTTATTGGGACATGCAAAAACTTACTTGAACACCGACGATAAATAACTGCGAAAAATCCGAGGGACAAGCGTAGAAGGTGCCGTCGGCCGTCCAGGTCCGATTCTGTATTGACTTGTTACAGTATTTTACAAAAGCAACTCACATTTCTAAGTAGTTCCAACCCAATATCATGGGCATAGATTTTGAGTGCATTCGAATCTCCTTTTTGATATGCAGGACACGTATCAACTCGCTCGAATGTTGCACCTAAAAACACAATTATCGGCAAAGATTAAAAGCAAACCAAAAGACGAGCAATCAATTTTATGAGGCCATGTAGTCAGAGCTGCTTTCTTCGCCGCACGTTTTGCTGTCTTTGTTAAAGCTTTCTCATCGATAAACGGCTTCAGATGATCGTCGGTTCCTCGAATGTCTTCACGAACAATTTCTCGTATCTGCACGCCAACTGCCGCGTGATGTTTAACAATTTTCTTCACACCACGTATCTATTAATAGAGCGATTAAGGATTAAGGATTAACGACCAACCTCTTTTCCATAGTTCGGGGCCATGTGTGCATGATGACCTTCGCTGATAATGCATCCGTCTTGAGCTGAGTATTTGCCAAGAAGACCACATTTTTTTTGCAAGCACCTGTAAGAAACAAGAGTTTTCACTTCCATAAACTTTAAAATTAAAAAATAAACTATTAATTAGTACCTGTAAATCGGTCCTTTGGTTCGAGTGTCCCTGTGGAGCCGAAATTCGAAACCGCTCGCGTCATAAAACACCTCTTTATTCCTGTTGGATCGAGGTGTGGCCGACAAAACTCTAAAAACGAACATTAACGAGAGGATAAATAAGCAAAAGAAACTTTAGGAAGTGTGAAAAATGCAGCTTTTTTTGCGCACCCGGTCCATTAGCGCACCCTTTTTCACGTTTTCAAAAAGCTCTAAAAAAATCCAAATTTTGACATACCAGAGTTTGTGGAATCAATTTGAAAGACAAAACGGGTAGGTAAAATTACAGAAAATTCTCGATTTTTCTCGATTTTGTCGATGTATAACTCCGTCCGTTTGCTTCCACAAGCTCTGGTATGCCAAAATTTGGATTCTACGCCCTAAAACTATCCAGAAAAACAAGTTTTGGAATAGAAATTAACTAATATTAGCTTTTTTAATAGCAAAAAAGGTGCACTAATGGGTCAGATGCGCAAAAAAGGTTGCATTTGTTCCACTCCCTAGCTTTATAGGAAAAACGTAAAACGCAAAAAGAAAGTGCACCTTGGTCGATTTAGTTGCATCTTCCGAGCTTCTTGAAGTCGATTCGTCGATTCGCAACTAAAAAAGCAATTCTAGCAAGTCCACCAACAGAAAAACAAAAAAAGAACTCAAAAAGTCGACAAGTGGGGCTAAAAAACAGTGAGTAACCAAATCCCTTACCTAACACAGCACACTTAAACAGCAAATATGGGCAAACAATATACACAGGAGAGAACGAACGAGGGGAGACAGCACTTTAAAAAAGGGCCACAAAAACATAATAGATTTCACGGAGGGAAGAAAACTCGGCATAAATCTGAACAAACAGAAAGTTTCCGAGTCCATCATGGTATGAAAAAATGAAAAAAAAATGGCAAAAGGAAAATTTTTGGGCGGGGTACGGTAGCGCATCCACGCTTTGGAAAGTGCACCACGCCGCTTTCGCACCAATCCCTTAAAACTACACGTTAATAGAAATTTAACAAAACGATTATATGGGTCCAGGGCAATCCTTGTTATAATGGGCGAAAAGGTGCGCAAAAAAAAAAGTGCGCAAATGTCCCGGGCGCGCAAAAAAAAGGTGCGCAAATGTCCCAGGTGCGCAAAAAAAAGGTCGCATTTGTCCCACTCCCGAGTTTAGTTATATCATTAAATTATTTATGTTGTTTATTTTAATTTAGCATGAAGTTATTTCAAGTTTAGTCTAAGTTTTGAGCGAGATTACAAAATTTTGTGTTTCTTTATAACACTTTTCTTTCGCTGCTGTATTTCTTTATTTAGATTCGATCAGTGCAATCAGTGATGAGAAGCAGAAAACGGAGCTGGAGAGATTGGAGGAACATCTGCTCGAGAGGCTGACTGCCAAGATGAAGACCAAGCCGAGTATCCCGACATTGACCAAGAAGCGGTTCGCGATCCAACTGGAATTCAACACTAACGTGCTCCAGCAGATTGAGGAAGGAACCGAGGAGAGTCTCGCCAACGCCAAGAAGTTGATCAACGAACGCAACGCTCTCCTGATCGCTGCCGACTCTAACCCGAAAGCCTTCGAAGTTGCGGAGACGGCTCAAAGGATGAAAATATTATCGGAAGCCAGCGGAGATTCATCTCTGGGTAGCCTCTTGCTCGCAACGCAGCTAATGAAAGACGAACCACCGATGAAGCGGAAGTATGATAGACAGCCCTTTCACCAACGGGGCGGAGTCGCTGGCTATGCTCCGTCCCGCTTTCAACAAGGCCCTTCTAACGCCGATGTGCTCCGCGTGATTGACGAGCTCACAGGTCAAAGCCGCTCCACCGATAGATTTGGATATGGCGCTGCTGGATTTCAAGGAGCGCCTAAACGTATTCAATGCTACAACTATTTTCAATACGGTCACACACGTGTCAATTGTCGTTAAGGAGGTTCAGGACCAAGAAACTAGTGAGTTAATTCAGGAGCGTTTTTCTAAGGCTGTAGAGTATTGGGCATTTCTAGGAGTCTCCCCCTTTTGGTGTAGCGTCATTAAGTCCGGGTATTTTATTCAGTTCTCTAGTCCATTAGTCCGTAAGCCTTGGGAAAATAACTGAAAATACCCAATGATAAAAAGCTTAGGCTAATTTTGGATCTCTCGTAGGAGAGTATTACGTGTTTACAGTCTTACCATTTGGCCTCTCGCCGACACCATGGGTATTTACAAAATTATTCCGTCCTCTAGTGGCTTCGTTGAGAAAGCAAGCAGCTAATATGTGTTTATATCTAGACGATGGTCTAGTCTTCGCTGGGAGTCGGCAAGAAATTTTACGAATGAAAGAGGCAGTGTTGACTGCATTGGAAAGGTGCAGAATCACCTTAGCACTTGGCAAGTGCGAGTTGGAACCAGTCCAAGCGTTGGATTTTCTAGGGACCCGAGTGGATCTAGCAGATGGATCAGTATCCATATCGCAAAGGCGAATAGACAAGACTAAGGCGGAGGTAAAAAGGTTACTAGAACGCCATAACACTTTACTAAGTCGTAGACGTTTTCTCGGTCATGTGGTTTCTATGTATCTTGTTGTTCCAGATGCTGTGCGATCAACGAGGTCCACATCGCAGATGGTGGCAATGCTAGAAGATTCCAGAGCAGGTGTGCACAAGAGGATTGCGGCGTCACCTCAAGACATAGAAGAATGGGAAGCATGGGCACATCGCCTTAATCAACCAATGAAGCGATCACTTTACGCCAGAGAGTTCACCGGTGAGTGGAATTTATTTACCGATTCATCAGCGGTAGCACTGGGTGCAGTTTTTAATTCTCCCCTGGGGCCCCTAAAAGCAGCGCGCAATTTATCACTTGAGGAACAGGCGGAATCAAGCACTAAGCGGGAGTTGCGCGGAATTCTTTTTGGCATAGAATCATTTAGAAAGCAATTTCCCATCGGGCAAAGCATAAAAGCTTTTTGCGATAACCAAGGCGCGGTTAGTATTGTCAATAAAGGTAGTATGAAAGAGGATTTGCAAGCACTAAGTCTAGAGATTTTACGCTTGGCGAACGAGAGTGTAGTTGAGCTCATCGCTTACTGGATCCCCAGTGGGTTAAATGAAGAAGCTGACGGCATGAGTAGAGAAATTGACCTAGATTATTGGGGTATAAGAAAAAAGGAGTGGAGTATAAAATACTATTTTGTGCTATGAGCGTAGAAATAGCGTAATGAAATGAAGCTTTCGAAGCGAAGCACAAAATATGATTTTATGCTATTTCAGGATGCACCATTTTTGTTCTGTCACAAAAAGTATTCAGCTGGAGTGTTTGGATTATAGGGTGGATGAACTACCGTAGGCTTGGGAAAGTGTATAAAAGGAGAAAATTTAGCAAAAATTTTTATTCTGGTTCAATCGTTAGCAGAGTTTTTAGTTTAGTATAAGACCCACCCACCCAATCTCAACAATATTATTTATATTGTTTATTTTAGAGGAGCTGTGTTTGGAGAAGTGGAAGCCCGTCCTGGAGGTGATCGCTTCGTCAAAGATGCCCACTTACCTACTGGATCAAGTGTCGCTCGTTGCCTCCAACGAATTGGCCTCTTCAACGATGAAGATGCACGCAAAAGCCGAAATAGCACGCCGGGGATTTGCTGAAGAGGTGAAGCTGGATCGACAAGATGCCTCATCTTTGCTGATCTATTAGGTCCTTGCAAAAGAATAACCAACATTATAACCAACATTTGAACAACCCAAAAATCAATAACAAACTAACTTTATTCCAAAAGACATTTGCCATTATTATCAACTATGTTCTTACATTTTTTGCGTAGACTTCGGATGTCTGATTCGAAAAATTCGGGGTCCCGCGATGGAAAGTAATCTTGCACCCAAATTTTGACTTCTTCAGGATTGTTAAACTTTGGCTTTGCAAGAGAGTGTTGCATAGACAGGAACGAGTGGTAATCGGAGGGAGCGATATCAGGCGAATAGAGCGGATGAGGCACAAGTTTCCAGCCTAATTCTTCTATGGTGTTTTGAGCCAAGTTTGATGTGTGTACCCGGAAATTGTGAGCGAATAAATGAATTGTCTTTGGATTAACACCTCTTTCTCGTGGAATTTCATCAACTTTCTTCAGCTGTTTGGCGTAGCTTTGAGAAGTTATAGTTTTGAAGATTTTTGTAGTTTAAAATAAACGATTCCTTTCATATTCCAAAAGACCGACAGCATAACTTTCTTTCCGTGAAGTTCTGGATGTGATGTCGAAATCGGCCTTTCTCCTTTGCTCAACCATTGTCTTTTGCGTGTTGAATTATTGAAATATATCCACTTTTCGTCCATTGTCAACATGCTTTCAAAAAAAAGCACTGCCCGTAGCCTTTTTCAATAAAATCCGAGACAATAAAACTCGATTGGCTTTGTTTTCAGGGGACAATTCATGTGGGACCCATTGGCCACAACGATTCCTTTTTCCAATAAGCGGAAGGTGTCGAGAAATTGTGCTCGAATCACATTTAAAGTATTCGGCTAATTCGGGCAAAGTTTGAGTTGGATCCAACTCGACAATCTCCAGCGACTCCGCATTATCGAATACAACTGGACAATATCCATCTTCCAAGCTGCCATCCCCTTTACGAAAACGTCGAAACCATTCCTGGCAAGTCCTTTCACTCAAAATGTTTCCTCCGAATGTTTCACAAAGAGCCCGGTGCGACTTTGATGCTGTTTTCTTCATTTTGAGGCCATAGAGAAGGCACGCTCGCAACATGAGTTTTTGATCCGTCATCTTCTACCGAAGATTATGTAATATTTAATGATAGCAATAGTTGTGAAAATAATTAAAATGAATAAGCAATAATAATACAATATAATACAATTTAAACCGGACCATCACACTTTCAAATAAAAAAAAACTTTGGTCCTCGGTAATCCGCAAGTTCCGTTTTTCGGTCCAAGTAATCCGCAGTTTCTTTTGCAAGTCCCTAATATCTTTTGCACAAATCGAGATCTGTGGGGCCAGCGAGTATCATCTTAAACATCGCCGCCTTCAAGTTTTTCAATGGAGAGCCGGACGTGGATCACGCGCGCCTCTTGTCGGCAATCACAAAAGCTTCGACTCGTTTATCTCCTCCGACCTCACATCACAAACCAATTGGATGGCACGAAATGGAGAAGATCATCCGTCATGGCCTCGACTCGGGCAGCAAGCAAGAACTAAAGTCGGTGGTGATGGCGTTGCTGATGTTTACCGCCCTTCTTCGCGTATCAGAGGTAGCCGCCTTGCAATGGAAGGATATCTCCGAGGAGCCACAACAAATCTGGAAAGTGAAGGTGAAACGAACCAAGAACGATCAAAAGGGCGAGGGACGTTTCACGTACATCTCATTCAACGGAATTAAAAAAGCTCAGGCACTTTGGAATAGATGGATCACTTTGAAGAGAGCGGCTGACGAGTTTATCTTCCCAGGACACAAAGAAATGCCAATCAGTGCAAAGTCAGCCGCCAAGGCAATCACCAATCTCTTCAAGAAGCTCGACCTTCGTGGGCTCACATCACACTCGCTTCGGGCTGGGGGTACAACACTGGAAGCAGCACGCGG